GGTTGACCCTTTTTCGCGCACAGAGGCATTTTGCCATCCAGTTTGTGTATCCAGACTCCTGTCTCGTTGCCTGGCAGTGCAATGGCCGCTGCTGGGGTATCCAATGCTCAGCTGCCTCAAGTTCTAGAAGGGATGAACGGCGGCATGAGCGCCATGAGGGACAACATCAAAGATGCCAAAAAAACGATTCGCCGTCGCTGAAGGGCTGGAGGAGAATATTTCCGATCTCGAGCTCGCCATGGAGGACAAGTTCGAAGAAGCCAAGAAAGCTCACCAAGCTCTCGTTCTCGACATGGACCTGAGAGTGCCTCGACTCGAGCATGCTCATCAAGAAGCCGCCACCAACGCTGCCTTCTTCGACACCGAGGACGGCAACCACACCGCCAAGAACGCTGGGCTCGAGATTCAACGGCAGATGAAAGAAAATGGCCAGGCTCGAAGCGTCCCTTGCCGAACTTCAGCGAGCTCCGTCCGATGCAGGCTCCGCTTCAACTCGGCCGCCATCCAAATCTCGTCGCCTAGGGAGGGGCACCAGTGCTGGCTCCAGCGCGTCCGAGATTCCATTGATCGATCTTGCCAACGACGAGCACAACCAGATCGACCCTACCAGACGGTGGATCAGCGGTTTCTCCGCGCCCAGTCACCGAGCCGTATAGGCGCACAGTCTTCAACCAGATGAAGAGCCGACTTCCTTCTGCCATCAGTGAAGGGATGACAGGTCATTTCCACAAAGTATCTCAAGCGTTCGCCGTCACCTCCAACTCTGAGCAGAAGGCCCGCGACTTCCACGACTGGTTCCTCGCGAACCCCGTGACATGGCAGGACTACCGCAACACCTCCCTTCATCCGCTGAGATGCCGCAGGGATATGCCGTTGCAGGCCCGCCAGAAGAACCGCGTCCTGAGCGCCCTCTGGCCGCTCGTCCACAAGCACCTCGAGAACGCAGGGAAGTGGAGCCCGTCAATCAAGATCGGCACTAACCCGTTCAAGGGCGTGTTCAGCATCACCACCGAGAACGACCACTGGGAAATCTTCAAGCTGACCGACGCCCCTGGTGGCATGTACGAGCTGAAGCCGATCAGCGACCAGCTTTCCGAGTGGAGCATCACCGAGACGACCGCCAACTGGATGGTCGAGCAGTCCCAGGCCTCCGTCCAGCAGTATTGAAGTGATGCCAGCCTAGTATCGTGTGCTAATTTTCTGCCCTCTCCCGTTGCATCGCTGCCTCTGTCGCCCGAATCTTCTGATCTTTGCCCGCCCTCTCTGTCGAATGCTGAATTCGGAGCCCAGCCGCCTCCGCCTGAGAACCCAGTCAGTTCTCGCCTTTCTTTTCCGCCATCCCTGGCCAACGGTCGAGGTATTCGGATTGCTACTTGGAACTGTCATACCCTGTTCGGCGCGGTCTCTGGGGACCACGACACTCAGGTCAAGACTTTCGATCGACTCACTAACCTAACTAGAGCAAACAATAGCATTTGCTTGCAAGAAACGCACGGCCATGAAGGGGATCGCGAGTCGCTGCGCACCGAGTTCCCTGGATATGAATCGTTCTGCACGTTCTGTCCCGACAGTCACGCTGGCGGGAACGCGATCATGCTCGCTCGCTCTCTTCTCGCTCTGCTTCCTCAACATCAACACAATGTGATTATCCCTGGGCGTCTCCATGCCGTCACCATCCAGTCCGACTCTTTCTCGCTTACCATCCTGAACCTCCATCTCGACCCGAGTTGCCGCCACAGAGAGAAAATAAGGATTCTTCGCTTATGCGCCGATTTTTTGCACAATGTCCAGGGCCTCCTCTTCTTTCTTGGAGACTTCAACTTTTGCGAGCTGGGCGAGGGTATCCAGCGAGTAGACGGCTCTGTGCATGCCAACAGCCCCGACTCCCTCGCCCATAAGTTCTGGTCGCTCTTGGCTAACGTTATGGAGTGCTACCAAGAGAACCCGACCCACCACACCACTCGGAATGGGAATGTGGTTAGTGTTTCCAGGATCGACCGCATATATGCCAATATGTTTACTGGGGATATCTTGGATTTGAAACCGACCTCTGGGACCTCCTGGAATATTTGTAAAGCCGACCTCCCGAGCGACCACGCCCCGGTGTGCCTGCATCTGAACGGAGGCGGAGAAAATCGCGCTCGAGCTGTCCCATCGTGGGTCTCTCGTCACCCTCTGTATCCGATTCTGCTTGAAAAGCTGATCAACGAGCACGGGGTATGCGAAGATAATCCGCCGCTCTTGGTTGAAGAGCTCACGTGCCTAATGCACGAAGCAGGACGTTTTGTCCAGCATCGACTTTCTGAGCTTCCGCCCAGCTCCGCCGAGCAGCATTTGCAGTGGCTGTTCGCTGTGAATCGCGCCATGCGGAGCCACAAGATAAGCGCGCTGAAGAAGGCGGTCAAGGCCATCCCCTGACTGTGGCACGTGGCGCAGCCAGTCAGCATTTCAAGAGTATATGGCCAAGATTGCTGCCGCTCGGTACCAAAAAGAGTATGAGGAAATCATTGGGCATACCACGGAATCCCCCCAGTTCTATGAGCACCGAGCGGCGCGTCTACAGAGATTGGTATCGGCCTGGCCGCCTAAGAATCGCAGAATATTTCTCACGGGCGTCACGGATGCCGAGGGGAGCGCTTTCCCGACTGCTGAGGCTGGGGCCCATGCTCTAGCCGCTCATTGGAGTCAAGTCCACGCCTCTGCTTCATCTCAAGTTGCCGCGAGGGACCAGCTGGAGGAACATATTCAAAAAGTGAGGGAGGCTCAGATTTGGAGGCTCTCTGAAGAACAGTTTTACGGAGTTTTGGATCGGCTTCACGATTCCGCCCCTGGCCCTGACGGGCTATGTTACTCTGCCTGGCCCAAAGGGAACTTATATGTTAGGTGGGCCGCCCACGCCATGTGCCGGCATATCATTGATTTCGGTCAGGTTTCAGACGATTTCAACCTCAGCAACTCGGTCTTCCTCCCCAAATGTTCCCTGGACCGCGACGGCTTCGAGCTCTGGAGGACCCCTGAAATGACCCGTCCCATCTCCCTCTCCAACTCGATCAACAGAATTGTCGCTGTCGCGATCAACGGCCGCCTGAAGGAGGTTTGCGTGGACACCACTATTGGGATCCAAAGGGGCTTCGTCAAACACCGTAACATGCTTGACAATCTGATTGAGTTCGAGACCCACATGGTCGTAGGAGCAGGCCTTTTGCGGCGACAGACTGCAGGCGCTATCCTGCTGGACATTTAGGCCGCTTTCCCAAGTGCATGCCATGATTGGATATTTTTCGTGTTCGAGAAAATGAACTTTCCCGAGTTTGCACTGAATGCAATAAAGACGCTCTACGCCAAGGTTGCCACCACCATTCTCCTGGGCGGGGTGTCCCACTGCTCTTTTCGTATCCTCCGCGGGATAAAGCAAGGATGTCCACTCTCGGGAAGTGTGTTCGCCCTGGGGTTCGACCCGATATTACGCTTGCTCTGTCTTCGGCTGCCCCGACCTGTCCATTTGCACGGTGCCTTCGCCGACGATGTCGCCTCCGCCGCCTTTGATATCTACGCGGCCGTGCCCATTGTCATGAAAGTTATGATGCTTGCAGGGCACGCCGCGGGCCTCGTTCCGAACCTCAAAAAAACGGTGAGATTATTTTACCGCGACTTTAACAGGGAGGAGGAGGAGAGGAAGTTCCAACGGCAGGGGATCAGAGTTCGGAGCTGCGGGATGTCTAAGTGTGCCAAGTATCTCGGAGTGATGTGCGGGATCACGGCCCAGGAAGAGCTTCGGGCAGCCCCACTGGTCAAGTTCCGCGACAGATGCCGCTTCATTAAGTCTTTGAAGTTAGGCCTGTCGATGTCTCTCGTGGCGTACAACCAGATCGCAGTCACGGTGCTCATGTTCATTGCCCAGTTCTTTCCGCCCGCAGCCGAGTGCAGTTGGCAGGTGCATCTCGGACTGCAGTCGCTTACATGTGCTCCTCGGCATGCCTTGTCTGATCATATGCTGGTGGGAATGAAGTCTCTAGGGGGACACTATCTCGGGCCAGGTCTCTCACACACGAAGCTCGTGCCGCTGCATACCGTGCTACCCTCGCCTCTTCCGTCTTTTTCGCCTGCATCGAGAAAATCGAGGATGCGTTCGATGACCCCGAATGCCATCTGGACGCTCATCTTCATCCCGTTTATACCAAGTCTTTCGCGTTAATGATGAACCAGAACTATCGTGAGTTATCCCGAATCCCGTCAGCCCCCACCGTCTTCGAGCACGGGCTTCAGAAGAAAATGACCAAGCTTGTGTTCGCCCACCAACCCCTGGTCCCTTTCCCTGAGCTTATCCTGAGGCGTCTTCAGTATTGGGCTTCGAGGTTTCCTGAAGCTGGGCAAGTAGGGGCTCATGAAGCCCATCTGTGTTTCTCTCGGCTAAAAGTGGACGGCCAGCACATTGCTCCCTTTGTTCAACTCAGTCTGCTGCGCAGTATATGCAATGCTTGGAATACCTCTCGGAGATACCGCCAGGCCACGCTAGGATGCAGGTTTGGATGTCAATGTATGGCTGGTGACCAGATCGTGCATTACCTTGTCTGTCCTGCCCTTCTCGGAGTGATGCGTGCCAATCTGCCTTGGCTCCCACCTTGGTGGGGGGCGGAGGTGTTTGCTGGGCTCCTTCTTTTTTCGTTGCCTCTCTCGCGCGATGAAATTGTCTCCGTCGCCATAGCGCACGACGTTCTGTTAAACACGTTTAACAAACTCAGGTCCGAGGGGGCCCAAAGCACATCGCGAGCCATTCGGCTGGCTGCAGGCCGGTTCCGTCTTATCTGCCGACGCGATGCCGGGGCGCGAGCTTTGGCGCGGCGATAAGGCATCTAGCGGTGTGGGCGCCTCGGATGACCTGCCAGATGGGATCGGGTCTCCTCCTTTTCCTCGTCCTCCTCCTCTTCCTCCTCCTCCTCCTCCTGCGCACCTACGTGGACGACGCCTCAGCCAGAGTTGAGGACAGCTCAGAGCAAGTAATGAGCCAAGAAACTATTCAGGTTGGCCTTGAGCTTGCTGAGCAATTTCGCCAGTACCGCCTGGCACTGCCCGACAAGTCCACGATCGTTGCCTCCAGCAGGACATTGGGGAAGCGCATCGCCAGGGTGTTATCGGGCCATGGTCATCTCATATCATACGCAAGTCAGGCCACCGACCTTGGCCTCGACACTACCGCAGGCAGGCGCAGATCTGCCAAGAAAACGACGGCCCGCAGAGACAAGACACGCCGTCGGTATGGTCGCATCCTTCGCTTACGACAGCTGGGCACGAAGGTCCACACCGAGGCCTCGGGGCTATGGTCGACAGGTGCTCTGCCGCAGGCTGCCTACGGTCATCAGGCGGCGGGCGTACCTCCATCCCTCGTCTTGGCCCTCAGACGGCAGGCCAGCAGTGCCTTTGCTGGGACCAAGAAAGGCCGCTGCCTCACGTCGACGTTGGCATGCACACTACAGGACCGGGACCCCGCCATACAGTTCCCAGTCGGTTTGATCATGACCTGGTTTGAGACTTGGTTTAGCCATCCTGAGCTCCACCCTGCCATTCGTCTAGCTTGGCCCGTCATCAAGCAGAAGGCACTCCACAACCAGAACGCCTCCTGGAACCGTGTGCGAGGGCCAATAGGAGCAGTCATCGCTACCCTTCACCAGATGAGGTGGATATCGCACTCTCCTGAGGCCTGGGAGAGACCAATTGACAACGGCTCGGACACGTGGACCTTCCCACCGTATGGATCCGAGGACTTCAAGGTTGCCGACGCCATGGAGTTAGTAGACGACTTCATCCAAGATCGGAAGGCACAGCTGTGGGCTTTGGCAGCAAACCACGTCGACTCAAGCGACCTGCACCACGGAGCGGACTTCTCTGGCGTCACTCGAGAGTTGCATCGTTTTGAGCAGCAGGCAGAGACCGACCCGTGGGCTGCCACTCTCACGGTGGCCACGGGTGGCCAGTGGCCCAGAGAACGCCAATTCGCAGCTGGCTATTCTCGTTCGAGAGTGTGCAGGCGTTGTGGGAAAGAGCCCGAGACGGCATACCACCGTGCTTAGGGGTTGCGAGAAACATCAAGGCCACGAGGACTTCGAGAGATCCCAGAGCCTCATTCCTCGGGCTGCGGCTTCCTACAGGGCGGAACCCTCCTACTGGCTCCGAGGGGTCACCGCGAGCACCCTCACGAAGCCCCCTTTCGATGAAAAGGACGTCTTGGAGAAGGGCTTCTACATGTTCGGTGATCCCAGTGAGCTCCTTAGGGCTCCTGACAGCCACCTTCAAATCTTTGGGGGCGGCTCAGGAGGCCTGTACAGCAGTGATCCTAGGCGTAGGAGTTGTGGCTCCGCGATCGCTGCGCTCGACCAGAGCCCCTGCAGCCCCGCCAATTGGATCCCGATTTGGGGAGCTTCTTTGCCGCTGTCTGGACGCAGACAGACGGTGCCTAGGGCCGAGCTTCGAGCGTTCATCCTGGCGTTGGAGCTCCTTCCGATGCCATTTCAGTACGTCACTGATCATTTGCCTTTGTTCCTTGCTTGGAAGCGCGGGCGATGCGAGCGTCCCGCCCCCAAGGAGCAGAATTCAGATTTGTGGAAAGAGATCCGCGCCCTCGCCAGCCGCAGGTCCTCTCCCATCCTCATGGCCTGGACGGCCTCACACCTGGAGCAGGACCCCGATCGGCTCAGGTCCTGGGACGAGGCCTTCGCTGCGGCCGGCAACGCGGCCGCGGACGCGCTGGCCAATCAGGCCTCGGCGCGAGGACTTTCCTTCTCCCTCCCTCCAGGTTGGGACTTGCATGCCGTTGACCGCATCGATGCGGAGACGGCTCAGATTCGAGCAAGGCTCAGAAGGAGTCTGCTCGATACGATCGATATCGACGGATGGGAAGGGGAGTGGGCTGGGGGCGACTGTCAGCGCATGCTTCGTATTTCCAGGAGGGACCGAGCCCTCGGCCAATCCACACACCAGTTTGTGAGAGAGGGCAAACGTTGGGTCTGCTCGGGGTGTAGGGCATTTGCCACCACCACCTCTCTGCTCTCGGCCGTGGCCCGAGAGTGTCCAGGGGCTCCTCTTGGCAGGACCAGTTTTCCCACCGCTGCTGGGGTCGTGGTCCGAGAAATTGTTGGCCCCGCCTGGCTCGGTTCAGTTTCGGCCCACCCCAGCCACCAGATCTGGGCGTGGGATCTCCATAATCTTCGTTTCTGTGTCAAGTGCGGCCTCACATCCACTACTGACCCTCGGCATTTGCAGGTTGTGTGCCCTCCCATCCGCAGTCGCAAGGGGCATGATAACCTAGCGAGGATTGCGAAGGGTAAGCACCCCTCGTACAGGATTCCGAGGTCAGCGTACTCCGCCAGCGTAGACACCCCTGCGGGCCTTGCTGCTGCCGCTGCAGACGAGGGACAGGGTCCCCCTTGAACTCTGAACTCTGACCTCCTCCTCCTCATCCTCCTCCTCCTCCTCCTCCTCCTCCCCCCCCTCCTCCTCCTCCTCCTCCTCCTCCTCCTTCTCCTCCTCCTCCTCCTCCTCCTCCTCCTCCTCCTCCTCCTCCTCCTCATCCTCCTCATCCTCCCTTCTCTGTCCTTCAGCATCCTCCTCCTCCTCCTCCTCCTCCTCCTCCTCCTCCTTGCGGCTCCTAGCGTTTCTAGCGTTTCGACCACAGCAGGGTAATGATCACGCAGGCAGCAGACGTCATTCAACGTTTAATTAAGCAGCGGCGGCGGCACGACTGCTCCTCTCAGCGACGGCATCAGGCTCGGTGCCGCGGTCATGTCGAAGCCGGCCTTGCCTTCTGCCGACGGCGGGGACGAGGAGGAACCTTGCCCCTCCCGCAGCGGCTATGCCGCAAAGTGCTGCCTCCTCCTCCTCCTTCTCCTCTTCTTCCGCGCGGACGATTTTAGCGCTGCCCTCCGCAGCCTCCGTCACCTCAGGCTCTCAACGCTCCCTGTCAAGAGATGCTGCATAGTACCGCTGTGGACCCTCGCCGACTGTGAACTGAATTCGTCAAGCCCTTGCCAGCGTTGTCCCCGAATGGGCGTCACTCACCATCGGCGCTGCCACTGAATACCTCGGGGTCCTCATGGATCCAGGAGCGAAGTTGGCGGACGTCTGGGAAGCGCCTGGTCAGAAGTGGTGGGTGAGGGTTTAGGAAACGGGTTGTAGGAGAGCACCCACTGCTGCCCTAATTGTGCTTTTTAACTATTGTCTCTGCCCTCGGCTACGTCGCTCAGTTTTTACGGTCTTCCCCCACACCATCGGGAAAGAGGCTTGGGCCTCCACAAGATTGCTGAGGCTTCCGCCGAGCCCATTCAAGACGAGGGAACGCTTCAGAGTGTCTCAAAGTGGCTCCCCTCTGGCGGCCCGCCGTCAATCCTCACTGCCACTAAACTGCTGCTGGATGGCGTATGGCCGCTCGTGCGCTCAGGGGGTTGGAGGATGGGCTGGGTCGTCACGACGAAAAGGCCGCCCGTTGCTCCTGTGGACTTGTGGACCTCGCTGGTGGACAGTGGTCGGCTCCTCGCCGGGGCATCGGGATCAGCACAGCTCGGCGGACGAGAGAGTTCGGGTGTTGCCAGAAGTGCCCCCCGGCCCAAGTTGCCCCCCAGGATCTTCGAGGAGGTCCGCACGGCCTCCAGAGCACCCCATCACGAAGCCCAGAGGGCCCCAGTGGCTCCCAAAGGGAGCGACACGTGGGGGGCACCTGAGGCCAGGGGCACCCGCAGCAGCCCCCGAAAGAGTGGAGCGGCCTTCCACTGCGCTGCGCTGCCCAGCGCCCCCCCCCCGGGTTCCCCACGGGGCTCCTCGGCAGCTGCCAGAAGCGGCGAGAGCGAGCACGCAGAGAGGCCGCGGGCGCAGGGCCGCCGAGGGAAGCTCCCAGGGCGCCACTCGCTGCTCGCTCGGTGCTTTTCTATACCCTCTGGGCCATGACGCGCGTCATGCCCCCTCCCCTCCCCCATTTCCTCCACGCCCCCATAACGTAACGCTCCCCCCCCTCTGTGCGTCCCCGGCACCTCGTCTTGCCTCGCCTGACTCGGGGGCGAGCGCCGCGGGGCTGCCCATGTCCGTGCAGTCGGCAGAGAGCGCCGCTGACAGGGACGGCCAGTTCCCAGCGGGCAGCTCCGCGAGTGGAGGAGGCCAGTCTGGGGGCGGCTCCGTTGTGGGCACTTGGCATCGCTCGGACGTGTGCATTTTCTTTTTCGGCGAGGACTATCGAGGAGCATCATGGAGCATCCTGGCTTATCTAGCAAAACATATACGCGCGAAGTCGAACAATGCACGGGACATGGACGTCCGAGCGATGGCGAGGGGCGGCCCCGCGGCGTTCCCCCCCCCCCCCGCTCGTGCTGTCGTCTTACCTCATCTCCGCTCTCTTCCCTGACTCTCTTCGCCTCGTCTGTTCTCGCCGCTTCTCTGTTGCTCGTTCGCCAGGACAGGATTTGACACCGAACGGCTGGCACCATGGAGCCTCCGTTGCCGCCGAGACCTCGGCCGAAGGAATGGGGGAGTCGTCAGCTCCCATGCCCGTTTGGGCGCATCTCAAAACCCGTTGCTGGAGGCTGGATTCGTAGCCGTCGCATCCATGCCCTTACCCCGCTCACGTGCCGACTTGGATGCGAGAACTGTCCAGATGCCATCGCCAACTACATCGTTCGCCCTCGTCTGTTTCCATATCATCGCCCTCCCTGGGCGCATCGACAGTCTCTCTAGCCCTATCGCGCGCTCTGGCCTCGGGACAGAGACTGATTATAATGAAGCAGAAGGCAGAAGCCTTTCGTGCCCGAGCGCTCGAATTGACAGCAGTGAGCTTCCATCTCTTTCACAAGTTGCATGCTGAGCTTCAGGTGCAGCCACAATATTACAACCAGTCTAGCATAGTATAGTATTCCACTCCAGGCCAGACACTCTGCTTCGTTAGCGTACCAGGTCTTGAAGGAGCGAGTTGGTGTTGGCCCCTCCGCCGCCCCCAGCTCGATTCAAGCGCCCGCGAATCTAGCTCGAGACGCCAGGCCTCCTCCAGTCTTCGTTCGGGGAGGCAGGCTCCGAATCTCTATGTGCTCAAGAAATCGTCTCTTAGAGTGATGCCTTGACTCGTCCCCCTGGGTACGTGGACTCCTTCTCCTCCTCATCCTCCTCCTCCTCTTCCTCCTCCTCCGTCGGTCATCCCCCCGCCCTCCCGACCCTCATTTGAAGGGCCCTATTCTCCTTTTTCCAGCCGCTTCCGCATGCATGAAAATGGGGTCGCCCAGTCACCCCCTGCACAGTTAAGCTGAGCGCCTCCCTCCCTCCCTCCCTCTCCCTCCTCCCTCCCTGCTCCTCCTCGAAGCTTGCGGCTGCGGACTTGTCTGCTTATCCAGTTAGAACCCCCGAACCCCTTCCAACCGTCGGCTGCAAGAGGGAACGACCGAATGACGGCCATCCCTCCTTCCTCCCTCCCTTCTCCTGAAGGCTGGTCAGGGCAGTGGTGATTTTTGACCGCCGGGGCCGAGCGGAATGAACATACTGCCCAAACTGTTGTTTGAGTTTTCAGCTCCACACTTGTGGCCCCTCAAAGGGGGGCCCCAGACGGCGCTGCGGGGCATGACGCCCCCTCCTGGCGAGTCGATTCGATCCCTCCCATCCTCCCACCTCTCTCCTCCTCCTCCTCCTCCTCCTCCTCCTCCTCCTCCTCCTCCTCCTCCTCCTCCTGATCTCCAGCCCAAGAAATGTTGTCTGGTCCAAACCTGGGCGATCCTCTCTGGGGCGGAGATAACTGAGCTTCGTGCCGCCGTGACGGCCCTGGTCCCTGAGTGGACCGAGTTTGAGATTTGCAGCTCCTGCCGTCACCTTGGGATCCAAGTTGGCCCAGGAGCGACGTTGCAGGATCAGTTTGCTTCTGGTGGACAGAAATGGTGGGCTCGCTGCCGTCTGGTCGCAGTCACGCGAGCCCCTATGGATGCATGCCTGCGCCTCTACCGTACCCTCATCCTCCCCATGTCTCTCTTACGTTGCCCAGTTATTCTTCCTCCCTCCCTCCATCCTTCAACGAGAGGCGCACACTTTGCACAAATTGTTTCGTTTGCCACCATCGTCCTTCAGACTAAAGGAACTGCACTCGCTTCGATGGCTTCGTGCCCCTGAGCCCATGCAGTTTCTCAATTTCTCGTGTATCTGGCGAGCTGCAGGGCGCGCGTACAGAGGCTGGCATAACGCTTTGCAGCGTCTACAGCTCAGGGCGTCGGCCGAGGGCCCCCTCCGCCGTGCTCTGGCAGGAAAGTGGTGTGCTGCATGCTGGAGGATTCAGGAGAGCATTGTGCAGCGCTTTTCGACCTTCTTCTCTCTCCCCCCGTCCCCTGACCCTGGCTCTCTCTCTCTCTGGCCTCCCCCTCGCCCGCCCCACCCTTTTCAAAGCGCACTCAGATGCGACGGCAGAAGCGGAGTTGGCCCTCCGTCGCCACAAAGCCCCGAGGCTCCAAGCTTTATATTCCCGGAGCCTCCAACTGCAATGTATTCCTGATGGCATGCCTCCGCTTATCTTGCGTCGCATGTCCACCTGGTTTCCTCAACTCCCTCTCCTTTCGCTCCTCGAGGTCGGTCGTCGTTGGCGTCTTCTCCGTCCCATCCTCACCCGATCATTGCCGTCCAGGTCCTGGCCCCATATTAAAACCCTTTCGGGGTCATGGATCACCAGCGGGCGGGTTAAAGTTTTACCTCAGAGCACGTGTCGTCTTGGATGCCCATGTCCGGACGATATCGCTCATTACATAATGTGCCCACCATTGTGGGCCGCGGCCGCTCCCCAAGCCACGTTGTTCCTTCCCCCCGATCCTTGGGCCCGTCTCGGGTTGGGGGGTGAGTCCGACTATGACGGCTTGGAGGGTGGCAGACAGCGGGTCCATGACATGGTAGCTGTCTGCTTCCACATTTACCACAAGCTGCGGAACGCCCTGCAGCCCATGTCCGCCGCCTCGGCTGCGCAGATCGTCCATGCGCGCGCTGCGGCCCGTGCTGCTCTCTCTCTCTTTCTCTCTTTCTCTCTCTCTCTCTCTCTCTGTAACCACAGCACGGACCTTCCCAAGGTACGTGCGCTCCTCCTCCTCCTCCTCCTCCTCCTCCTGCTCCCCCTCCTCCTCCTCCTTCCTCTCCTCCTCCTCCTCCTCCTCCCTTCGCCTGCTTCCCCTCCCTGCTCCTCCCTGATCCTCCTCTTCCCTCCTCCTCCTCCTCCTCCTCCTCCTCCTCCTCCTCCTCCTCCTCCTCCTCCTCCTCCCTCCCTCCTCCCCCTCCTCCTCCTCCTCCTCCTCCTCCTCCTCCCTCCTCCCCTCCTCCTCCTCCTCCTCCTCCCCTCTCCTCCTCCTCCTCCTCCTCCTCCTCCTCCTCCTCCTCCTCCTCCCTTCCTCTCTCCTCCTCCTCCTCCTCCTCTCCTCCTCCTCCTCCTCCTCCTCCTCATCCTCCTCCTCCCTTCGCGTGCTTCCCCTCCCTTTTCCTCCTCCTCCTCCTCCTCTCCTCCTCCTCCTCCTCCTCCTCCTCCCTCCCTCCCCCCTTCTCCCCCTCTTCCTCCCCCTCACTTACCTCCTCCTCCTCCTCCTTCTCCTCCTCCTCCTCCTCCTCCTCCTCCCCCTCCTCCCTCCCTCCTCCTCCTCTCCTCCTCCTCCTCCTCCTCCTCCTCCTCCTCCTCCTCCTCCTCCTCCTCCTCCTCCTCCTCCTCCTCGTCTCCCTCCTCCTCCTCCTCCTCCCCTCCTCCCTCCTCCTCCTCCTCCTCCTCCTCCCTCCTCCTCCCCCCTTCTTCTCCTCCTCCTCCTCCTCCTCCTCCTCCTCCTCCTTCCTCCTCCTCTCCTCCTCCTCCTCCTCCTCCTCCCTCTCCTCCTCCTCCTCCTCCTCCTCCTCCTCCTCCTCCTCCTCCTCCTCCTCTCGTCCTCCCTCCCTTCCTCCCTCCCCCTTTCTTCTCAGGGCCCTCCCCCCCCCCCCCTTCCCAGGCCACAGGGGCGGCCGCCCCCCCCCGATGTCGAAGAAGCAGGCCCGGCCCGCAGCGCGCCGCGGGCGGTCCGCGGTGGAGGGGCGGGCGGCCCGCTCGCCGCCCCGAGGCACCGACGGCGGCGGCGGCGACGACGGCGACGGCGACGGCGGCGACGGCGACGGCGGCGACGAAGACGGCGGCGGCGGCGACGGCGACGACCGCGGCGACGATGACGGCGGCGGCGGCGATGGCGACGGCGGCGACAAGGACGACGAGGACGACGACGACGACGACGACGACGACGACGACGACGACGACGACGGCCGCCCGCTCGCCGCCCCGAGGCACCGACGACGGCGGTGGCGGTGGCGGCAGCGGCGGCGGCGGCGACAGCGGCGGCGGCGGCGACGGCGTTGTCGTTTCGGAAGTTTCTGGGCGTATCCCGGGGGATCTCTCGTCGCCGCGGCCGGGGTGCGGCTCGGGAGTGGCTGGTCCAGGGTGGAACCCGTGGGGGGGTCGCGGGGGACCGATTTTCCTGGACCCCGGGGCCGCCGCCGGGGGGGGGGGGAGAATGGATGATCGAGGTCCTCCTCTTCCTTTCTGCGTCTTCTTCTTTTTATTCTTCTTCTTCTTCTTCTAATTCTTATTTTTTCTTATTTTTCCTATGTAGTTGTCTTCTTCGTTTTCTTTTTCTTCTTCTTCTTCTCATTTTGCTTATTATTCCTCCCCTTCCTCCTCCAGATCCATCCCTTTGTCCTCTTCGTCCACATCTTCATCCTCATCCTCCCTCGACCGTCCTTCCTCAATCGGCGACCAGGATCGTGGATCTTGAATTGGGGATCGACGACGCAGTTTCGATCGAGGTTCGGTGATCGAGACTAGAGGTTTTGTGGCGACTTGTTGTCTTGCCTGTTTGCCCCTCGGGCCTCCAGAAGACTTCTCGTCGCTACGGGTGGGTTCTCCTAAAGATTATGTTCGAAGTGCGCTCCGGGAAGAAGTTCGCGATCCTCTCTACGCCCGAGAGGCAGGAGAGGCGCTGGCCAACTGGAGCTTGGCGCGCTCGCCTCTGGTCGTCCTCATCCCTTTGCTCCCTCTCGCTCGGAGGACAGCTTTGGTTGGAATGGCTTTGAGCGCCTTTGCTTTTTGGGGGCCCCTGAGGCCTCCGGGGGCCTCTGCAAATCATTTGGCTCACGTTTGCTCGGCGACACGTTTCGTGAGGACTGTTCAGCTGTTTCGCGCGTGCTCCACTGCGCTGCATCGTCGTTGTGGTGTCCGCTCGGATGATGATGACGGGAGCTAGGAGGAGATGCCAGATCTCATTGATAAAAATGCATTTCGTTGCCCTGAGCAGAAGGTGAAGGGCCGCGAGGCCGCGAGAGGATACGGTATGAATGACAGCGGATCGGAGGTGAGGGGGTGAAAGCGCAGTGAAACGGAGAGCCCCCAACCTGGAAATCGGTTTCGGTTTCGTGTTCGTGTCGCGCGTGCGGTCGCGGCGAAGCTGCGTGGGCGGGCGACGCGAGAGGAATGAACCCTCCTCTGGCTAGGGCGCCGCCGGGCCAAAAGACCGCCCAACCCCCTGGTTGTCCGGCGGTGGCCAGGGGTGTCCCATGGGTGTCCCGCCGGTGTCCCGTCGGTGTCCTGTCGGTGTCCCGTTGTGAGGTCGATAGTGAGATCGATAGTGAGACCGATAGCGAGATCGATAGTAGTGAGATCGATAGTGAGATCGATTGTGAGATTGATAGTGGGATCGATCCTGATATCGATCGAGTCAGATCGAAAGTGAGACCGATGGTGAGATCGATAGTGAGATCGATAGTGAGATCAATAGTGAGACCGATAGTGAGATTGAGAGTGAGATGACTAGTGAGAGCGATAGTGGTATCGATAGTGAGATCGAAAGCGAGATCGATTGAGAGAGACCGTGGTTCCTCCCCCCCCTGAACCTCCTTATCACCCGAAGGGTGGTCATACAGGTACCATCCATGTGCTAAGGGACAAGGGTGGGTGGTATGCGTGCTTTCAGCAGCCATCTAAGCCCCCCCTGCCCTCCTGATTACCCTCTTGCCCCTTCCTCACCCCCACTCCTCCTCCCTCCCCCCTCATTCCCTCCATTCTCCTTGTCCTCCTCCTCCTCGCCAGGCTCTGGTGCCATTGGACGGGGGACGTGCGGACGTCGGTCGGAGCAGGGGATCGGGCGGGGCCACCCACCGCTCGCAGCACGAGGAGCTGGCTGAGCCTGCGCGCCAAGAGGGTTCCCCCCCCCCTTGCCGCCGGTCACCCGCGGAGGCGCGAAGACAACCGCGCGTCGCGCATCGCCGGGCGCGATGCGCGAAGTCAGGTGACCTGGGCTGGCTTTCCTTCACTCCCCGCCTCGACGACGAAGGCGACGGCGCCCAGGTCGCTGGTTACATCCTGGACAAGCGCATCGGCAAGGGGTCGTACGCGACCGTGTGGCGAGGGCGCGCGGAGAGCAGCGACGAGGCCGTGGCAGTCAAGGCGCCGACCGACGCGCGCGCAGTGAGCACGGCAAAGCTAAGCGAAGCTCGCCGCCGTCGTCGCGGAGGGGGGGGGAGTGGAAGGGGGTGAGGATGAGGATGAGGATGAGGGTGATAACGGAGGTGATGATGATGGTGATGTTGATGATTATGATGCTGATGATGCTGATGTTGTTGCTGCTGAGTATGATGATGTTGATGATGATGACGATGATGCTGATGATGCTGATGATGATGATGATGATGATGATGATGATGATGATGATGATGATGATGATGATGATGATGATGATGTGGAGGATGAGGATGAGGATGAGGATGCGGATGTCGATGACGATGATGATGCTGATGATGATGCTGCTGATGATGATGCTTGTTGAGGTTTGATGATGTTGCTGTTGTTGATGTTGCTGTTGATGTTGTTGAGGTTGTTGATGTTGGGGTGATGATGCTGCGAGGCCCCGCGGTCGCCCGCCAGGCCTGGCCAACTGGCGGCGCCTAATGGAAGCGTAGTGCGTCACGTGGTAGCGGAAGAGTCAAGGGAGAGAGAAGGACAACGGGGGTGGGGTTCCCAGGAGGAGGAGGAGGAAGAGGAGGAGGAGGAGGAGGAGGAGGAGGAGGAGGAGGAGGAGGATGAGCAGGAGGAGTAAGGTGCAGGTGCAGGTGCATGTGCAGGTGGAGGCGGTGGATTGAGGGCGGAGGGGGGAGGGGGGGAGGGGGAGGAAAGCGGAGCGAAGAGGAGAGAACATCGAGGAAGATTTCGAGGAGGAAGAGGAGGAGGAAAAGGAGGACGAAAAGGAGGAGGACGACGAGGATTGCGAAGGCCTTCTGGCCGGTGCCGCAGACTTTGACGACGACGACGCTGACCACGACGAGGTAGAAGGATGATGCGGAGGAGCAGGAGGAGGAGGAAGAGGAGCCGCATGATGAGGAGCCGCATGAGGAGGAGGATGAGGAGGAAGACGACGCCCAGGAGGTGGAGGAGGTGAAGAATGAGAAGGAGGAGGAAGAGGAGGAGGAGGAGGAGGAGGAGGAGGAGAAGGTGGAGAAGGAGGAGGAGGAGGAGCAGGAGGAGGGTGGCGATCATGTGGAGGAGTATGGGGATGTGGAGGCAGACGTTGAGGGGGGGGGGGGCCGAGCACCGGGGGGGAGTGCAGGGGGACGTGGAAAGGAGAAGGATGACGGGGTTTGGTCGAGGATAGTGCGGAATAGGAGCAGGAGGGGGACATGGAGGAGGGATACTTGGAGAGGGGGCCGACTTGGGGTGGCGGCCCTCTTGGACGCTCTCGGAGACCTTCTGGGGCACTGGGCTTGTTTTGGCATTTTTTCCAGCCCCGGAGCCCTCAGGGGAGGATGCGTATCTGACCCCACCCATCCCCCCCCATCCCCTCCCACACCCCCACACCCCGACGGGGGAGGGATCAAAGGGAAGGGGCTTCCCTTCGATTTGATTACGACATTGCTAGGTTTTTCTGTCGCTGACAGGCTTGACGGATGTCCGGGTTGGCGGATGTCGGATAGGCCCTGGAAGGATTCTTGGCTTCTTGGCAGACACCAAAGGAACCCGACTCGAACGGAGAAACCCTTCACACACGCCGACAGGGTCAGCGGATTCTGATGTGATTCAAGCTTTTTGGACCTCCGGGGGGCCCTCGCCTCTGAGAAGTTCCAGGGGGGAGGGGGACGTATGGGGACGTGGAGGAGGAGGAGGTGGACGAGGAGGAGGAGGAGGAGGAGGAGGAGGAGGAGGAGGAGGAAGAGGATGATCACAGCAAATTCAGCGCATGCGATTGTTCCTGCAATGCGACAGATCGCATCCGACGGATGCACGGAGTTCCGACACCGTCAGGGGCATGGCCGACGACGAATCCGCACCGCCAACGACCAGAGCACGCCCCACGGACCACCGAGCTCTGCTTCCTTGGGGTCTCAGCGCCGAGCAGCTCCCGTCCCGTCCCACATGCTCCCACGGCGGCGCGCCAAGGAGGGAAGTTTGGGAGTTTCGGGTGCGTGTGTTTTTCGGCCGTTTCCGTCGGTTCTCGGCGGTCTCGCACCCCCTGGATGTTTTCCAGCAGCTACGCCTCGCCGAGGGCGTTCCAGGGGTGCCCGGATCGTCCCGCACAGCCGCCGGAGGCCGGAGTTATGACCCGAAAACCCATCGGCGGTGCGCCGAGTGGGGGAAGTGAGAGTGGACAGGCCTTCTCAGGAGGCGGCGGAGCTTATCAGAGGCCCTCCGGCCTTCCGGGCAGCCCTCTGCGGCCTCGGAGGAGGCTCGTGGAGCTTCTCGAGAGGCCGGGGGCCCCATGAGGCCTCCGAGGAGGCCCGCCCCCTCGCGCTTCCCCCCTCGGCGCGCCGCCGATGGCAGTCTTCGCGCCTCGAGAGGCGGCGGAGCTTCTCAGAAGCCCTCCAGCCTTTGTCTAGGCCTCCCAGATGGGGTCGGAGCAGATGGGGGTCGGAGGATCGCGCTGCATCGCCGATGCATCGCCGATGCGGCTCGATGTGGTTGCCCGATTTGCTTCACGTCGACGTCGCCGATGCATCGCCCACGTCGACGATGCATCGCCGGTGCATCGCCGATGCATCGCCGACGTATCGGCGATACGGCGCGATCCTCCGACCCCATCTACTCCGACCCCATCTAGGAGGCCTCTACTTTTGAGGAGCCTCCTTCGGCCTCGGAGAAAGCCCAGGACGCTTCGTTGAAGGCCGGGGGCCTTCTCTGGGCCTTCTGAGAAGGCCCGTCCCCGCTGCCTCTCCCCGCCTGCCGCCCTGTGAAGCGCCCGATGGCCTTGCCACACCACGCGGAGTGGCAAGGCCGGAACGGTGAGGTCCCGTCTCGAGCTCATCTCCAGCACCAGCGGCCATCTCAGCAGCCGACCGCGCAGCATGGCGAGGCGCACTGAAACGGAGAGGAGACTCGGACGTGGCCAGGACGAGGATAGATCCGTTCCAGATCGCTCTGAGAAGGCCGCGGCGCCTGGGACATGTTCCAGAGCCGCCGGATCTCAGAGATTCTCGATCTATCCTCACCCAATGTTGTCCTTGTCTTAGCTTCGTCATAGAGGGGCGCCCGCGCTCCACGCAGCTGGTAAGAAGCCCTGGGATTGCGGGATATGAAGCGAAAGCCCGAATTCGAAAACCGCCACCCAGAAGTGTCTGGTTTGGGAGGGTAGAGCGTGAGGAAGGCGATGCTGATTAGCCAGGCGAGGCCTCCATTGGGCTGTCCTCTTCGGCGCGAGGCACACCAGTGGCAAGTCGAGGGCAAGTACAACATGGACGGCAAGTTGAAATTGGTATCAAGCTCATGCCAAGGTAAAAAGAAAAGGAAACGCTCTGTCACGGGCCATGCCGTTGCGTTGTTCTGATTTATGATGCATGGTCTTGTTTAGCCTTGTTTTGCTGCTCGGCGCGAGGAATCGCAATTGCATAGAGTTGCATTGAAATGCAGGCGGTTGCGCAGTTTGATTGAGCTTGGCAGTGGTTTGCTTTGACTAGTTGTGCTTCGCATGACTCTGCTGCTGATCTTGAACTGAGGTGCTGTGCTTTGCTTTGGAGTACAGAGTAGCGCAAACATTGCATTGCAACCGTGCTGCGTTGCGCTGCAGTGGAACACAGCGCAGCGCAATACATTGCATTGCAACTGCGGTGCAACGCAACGCAACGCAACGCAATGCGATGCAAAAGCAGATGCAGATGCAGTGTAGTGCAGTGAATTGCAGTGAAGTGCAATGCAATGCAATGCAATGCAATGCAATGCAATGCAACGACGTGCAGCAAGGTGCAAAGCATTGCAGAGAAGATCGCTGCAAAGCAAGGTCACCGTGCATTTCAAAGCCAAGCAGTGCACTCGAATGAACAGCTGTACTACATAGTAAAAAGACAATGCAAACTAAGACAAGCAACGCGATGCATTGCAATCCAGAACAAATCAACGCAATGCAACGACGTAACACTATTCACAGCACCTCAGCTCAATGCATGGCAATGCGGACGTAAGTCGCGACAGCGCAAAGAAATTCAACGCCAGGGAACGCACATGCAATGCGCAATGCAATGTGCTTTGCGTGCTGTAAACGAATGCGACGACACTCAATTCACGCAGCGCAATGGAAATGAGCGCGATAAAATGAGGTGCAATGCGATCCACAGCAATGCACCGCTCTGCTCATGTAGCGTAAAGCTGCCAGAGAAGGACAATGCAGCGTGATGCGCACCAGCGCAGTGCACCGCGACGGAAACACGACAGTGCACAGCCGTACAGGGCACTGTCGGTGCAGAGCACAGCAAAAGACTGGCGAAGTGCCCCAGAGAACGGGGGGCGCAGCCCCGCACTGCAGCCGCAGGAGGCCTTGCGCTCCCCCCCCCCCCCCGAGGTTGTTGAGCCGGATGCGGGGGTCAATGCACACGGGGGTCAGTCAGAGCGCCTGGTCTTGCAGGGTCCTGCAGAGCCGCGGTCGCATTGACCCGGGCTTGGGTGCAGGATCCCGCAGGATTTTGCAGGATCTTGCAGGATTCTGCAGGATCTTGCAAAGCTTGACTGACCCGGGTCTGGATTGACCTGGGCCAGTAGGTCCCCGAAAGAAGCATGGGCTCGATGTTCCGTAGGTCCTTCTGTGGCCGTATGTCTAGCGCTCCTCGTCCACGCAGGCACCCGTGGGGCCAAAGAGGGGCTTCGCTCCTTATTTAGCTTTCCTTATTTCAGCAGCCCGACTGTACGGTCAGGAACTTTGGCTTAGCGTGTCGCGCCGCGGATTCTGGCCCACCACGCCTCGGCGCGACAAACTATCCATGTCCTAGTCTCCAAGCTTCAACCTCCCGAGCCTTTCCCGACCTCCCGCCCCATGGAGCGGAGCGGCACGCTATCCACTCGCAAGGCATAGCATGTCGCCAGAGCCGCTGCCGCGACACGCTAAGCAAACATTACCGACCGTAGAGGAAGAGGGGCCGCCCTCCATCCGTGCTGTTTCTGGGGCGGGGCCAAATCTGGGACGATAAACTGGTCTTGGAAAGGAGCGGCGCTACAGCCGTGTGTGTAGGTGTTGGATTGCAGGTTTAGTAGTAACCGAGTCAGAAAGCTAGCAACGGAAAACAGATGTTGTAAAGGAGCCGCCCCTCAACCCTAATTGTGTTTAGGGTTTCCAAGCTGCGGGAACGTAGTTTTACAGAAGTCTCAGACGATAACCATATGTTCAAATCGTCTTGCCCTCTACGCGTGCAGCTGGGCATTCCAAGCTTCAGGATCGTAAGATATTTCGGGGTCCAGGGCGCAAGCCAGATGCCGACAGCGACCCGCCCTTATTCCGTGTGCCTGTCGTGTCATGCTTGAGGGTTCACCGGTTCCTCCTCCTCCTCCTCCTCCTCCTCCTCCTGCTGCTCCTCCTCCCCCTCCACCCTCCCTCCGTCCTTCCTCCGTCCATCTCCCTCCTCCCGCGACTCGCCCCGTCCAGCTGCCACTATGGCGCTGCACCCGTAAGTGGCCAGGATGGGGTGCGGGAGTGGTCCGCCTGGGGGGGACGGGCTCCTGAAGCGGGGGCCGGACTAGCTGCAGGGGTCTCCCTCCCTCCCTCCCTCCTCCCCCATCCGTCCCTCGCTCCTATCCTTCCTCCTCCTCCCTCCCCCCTCCCTCTATCTCCCTCCGCCTCCCTCCCTCCTCTCCTCTCTCAGAGCTTGGGCCGACCAGCGGCCAGGCGAGCCTCCGCGGAATCGGACTCCGACTTGGAGGGAAGGCCTAGCCTCGGGGGTTTCGAGTAAGGCCAATTGGCCGTCTTCAGAGGGGCGACGAAATCTCTGCATATCCACTGCTCCTTGGCCAGGCACATCCTGACCCCAGGAGCTGTGTATACACCCTCCTGGCAAAGCCAGGAGGGCGTGGCGTATACACCGCTGCTGAGTTCAGCATGGGCCTGGCCAGGGAGCTGTGGATGTGCAGAGATTTCTTCGCCCTACCAAGGGCCGACCCAATCAGAGCCGAGCCCTCCCGGTGGCGACGACGACGGCGCAGAGGACGGCAGCGACGGCCGCGGCTGGCCACGCCGCGGCTCCAGGTCATCAGCCGCCAGACCGTCACGGAGACCGGGCAGTTGCGCTCGGAGGCACGGGGGGCGACCTTCCTCCTCTTCCTCTTCCTCCTCCTCTTCCTCCTTCGTCCTCCTCCTTCTCCTCCTCTTTCGTCCTCCTCATTCGTCCTCCTCCTCCTCCTCCTCCTCCTCCTTTTCCTCCTCCTCCTCCTCCTCCTTTTCCTCCTCCTCTCTTCTACTTCGTTCCTCCTCCTCCTCCTCCTCCTCCTCCTCCTCTTTCGTCCTCCTTCGTCGTCCTTCTCCTGTTCTTCATTATCCTCCTCCTCCTCCTCCTCCTCCTCCTCCTCCTTGTCCTCCTCCTCCTCCTTCTTTTCCTTCTCCTCCTCTTCCTCGTCCTTTTCCTCCTCCTCCTCCTCCTCCTCCAACTCTTCTTCCTCCGCACCTTCCTCGTCGTCATCGTCATCCCTCCTCCCTCGTCAGTGTCCCAGAATGACATTAGGTGTGGGCGCACTGTGGTCGCCCGATCGCTGAAATCGATGCGATCTACCTGGGATTACTGTTGCGTGTACGGTCAACCCGCCTAGTAAGGAACAACTTTCCAAGGTTACCCTTGCATCCTTCCCCTTCGGCCCGTCCTTGGCCGCTTCGCTTTCGCTGGACGCGCCCCGCCCGCAAAGTGTCGGCATGGCCTTCCAAGGACCTTGTATCCTCATCGCGCGTCCTTATCATACGGGTTGCCTGTAGCCGAGCCTCGCAGGACAGAAGCCGACACCACCACCGCCGCCACCACCACCACCACTACCACCAGTCGGCGGCGAGCCCAGGGGGGAAGGCAGAAGGAACGGGCCTCTCAGAAGGCTCAGAAGGCCTACGGCCCTCCGACAAGCGTTCTGAGCCCCCTCCGAAGGTGCAGACCTCTTCTCAGGAGGCCCGAGGGCTTCTCACAAGCCCCGCCGCCTTCTTAGCCGGGAGCCTTGGGACGGGGGTCAGTGCAAACGGGGATCAGCCAGAGCGCCGGATCTTGCAGGATCCTGCAGAGCCAGGGGTGCACCGGCCCAGGCTAGCGTGCAGGATCGCGCAGGATCCTGCAGGATTTTGATCGACCCGGGTTTGCATTGACCCGGGTCAGTGCGTCTCCAGTTGAGAAAACCTGGCTCCTCTCACTTCCACCCTCCTGGCGCGCCGCCGAAACAGGGGCGGCACCTCCAGCGAGGAGGTTAGCGATGCCCCCCCGAGCTGGGGATGGTGGATGCCTCGAGCGGGGAGGCGGGGGACCACACCACCAGGAGGACCTCCCCGGGGCTCCTCGCGCTGGTGGCGGTGGTGCCGCTTTTCCTTGTTTCGGCCCACCCCACTCGTGGCGGAGATCGTGGGAGGGAGCTTGTCGGCTCCAGGGCGTTCCTGGAAGGCCTTCGGGAGGCCAAAAGGGCACCCAGAGAGCTCCCAGGGAGACTTCCAGGGGTGGGGGCCGGAGACGGCCAAGACGACCCCAAGAGTCGGCCTGGGGGGCGCGAGGGTTAAGCTGGGGGCGCCCGCCGAGTGGGTCGGGGGGCTTGGGCATTCGAGGGTTGAGGATCTAAAAGTCACCCGCAGGGGCGCGAGGATACTTACGCTTCGCGCGCCTCGGTCTGGGCCAGAGGGGCTGCCCTTTTCCAAGGGGGCGGCGCGAGGGCGCGAAGATCATGGCGCGCAGCGCACATGCGCAAAGTTAGGTGACCTGGAGGGTGGACGCTTCTGGGCGCCTCTGGGCATGGGAGTGCACCACGGCAATACACTACGCAAATGCACTACGTGGCGCGCTTTCTTTTACGTCCCGGCGCGGCGCAGCACATCACAGGGGGGCACGACGCAGCCCCCGGCACAGTAGCGTCAGCACGGAGATCTCCAGCATGGACACTGCCCATCGCTCGATCGAGGTGCTGGGGCAGCTTCCCCAGACCTCGAAGTTCTGAATCCTTTCCCGAGATTTGCCGGTCGACCACGGAAACGCGTGACGCGAAAACGCTACGCGACAACATTGCGCGGAAAGGTAACTCCACGCAGGGAACGCATTCCACGCAACAAAAGCGAACTCCACGCAGGGAATACATACACTACGCAAATTCATTACGCAAGTGCGCTATGCAAATAGACTGCGTAAATACACTACGTGAATGCACTACGTAATTACATTACGAAAATGCACTACGGAAATACACTACGCGAGTACATTTGGCATATACACTACGTACATACGCTACGTAAATACACAGCGCAAGCACACTACGTAAGTACACGACGCAAATACAGTGCGTGAATACATTGCGCGAACGCACTACGCAAAAAAACGCAAATACATTTGCGTACATACGCGACGCAACTACACTACGCAAGTACATTACGTGGCTCGTTCCCTGTCACGTCCCAGCGCGGCGCGGCACAGCGCGGGGGAGCACGACGCAGCCCCCTGCACAGTAGCATCACCACGGACGTCCCCAGCATTGCCAGTGCGCCTCGCCCGATCGAGGTGCTTGGCACTGTCCCCAGGACTACGCAGACGCACCACGTAAACTACAATACGCGAATACTCTGCGCAAGTATACTACGCAAGTACTACGTAAACACACTACGTAAATACATTCTACGCAGATGCACTACGTGAATACACCATGCAAATACACTACGCAAATACAATGCGCAAGTATACTACGTAAGTGCACTACGTCGAGGCCTCGCATTTTGGAATCGCTTCCAGAGTTTGCACTGTGCACATTTCCCGCGCAAGCACTGCACTCCAAACTGTACGCCACGTAGGAGCTCCACACTAACACACTACGCCAACACAACACGCTGGCCCAACACACTACGCGAAAGCACTACGCAAACGCACTACGTAAACTACGATACGCGAATACACTGCGCAAATGCACTCCGCTATTTCACTACCTAAATACATTACGTAAGTACACTACGTAGATGCACTGCGTAAATACACTACGTGAGTACACTACGCAAGTACACGATGCAAGTACACTACGCAACTACACTACCTAAATACACGACGTAGATACACTACCAACCCGCATTACGTACATACACGTAACTACACTACGGGAATACATTAATCAAATGCACTACGCATATACACTACGTAAATGCACTACGTGAACACAGTGCGCAAACACGCTACGTAAAGACACTACGTAAATACACAACGCAAATACACTACGCAAATGCACCACGCAAGAACACTACGCAAATACATTACGTAAATATACTACGCACGTACGCTACGCAAGTGCACTACGTGGCGCGTTTCCCTGTCACGTCCCAGTGCGGCGCGGCACAGCGCAGGAGAGCACGACACAGCCCCCGGCGCAGTAGCGTCAGCACGGACATCTCCAGCATTGCCATTGCCCATCGCCCGACCGAGGTGCTTGGCAGCGCCCCCAGGACTGCGCAAACGCATTACGTAAATTACGATACGCGAATACACTACGCAAACACACTACGCACATACACAGCGCAAATACACAGCGCAAATACACTACGTAAATGCACTACGTAAATACACTACGCAAATGCACTACGCAAATACACTACGCAAATCCACTGCGTAAATATTCTACGTAGATTATTGAATCGCTTCGCTCACTCCGCCGGCCCTCGAGCGCTCTATGGGGCCTCTTTGAAGCCTCTTGGGGGCCTCTTTGGGGCCTCCTAGGGGCCTCTTGGGGGCCTCTTGGGGTTCTCTTGGGCTCCTCGGCGGCGTCTTGGGCTCCCATGGGGCCTCTTGGGGTGCTCTTCGGGGCCCCTTGGGGCAGGAGGGGGGGTAGTCGATTGCAGCCACCCCCTCGGAGGCCACGATCCTCGTGAGGGGTGGCGAAAAATAGCCTCCCCCCTGGGGATCGCCCGGGGGTCAGCCGGGGATCGGCCGGGTTTTTTTTCGCCCGGGGGCCCCCAGGGGCCGCCCCGCGCGCGCGAACTAGAAATATTGTCTGTCGTTGCCGGAGATCTTAGCACGCCTCCAGCCCGTGGGGCCGGCGAGTTCCACAGCTGGGTGCAGCTCTCTATCTCGGGCGCCAGGGCCGCCGAGAGATGTCCGGGGGTGGAGAGTTGGCCCCGGGAAGGTCGAGAGGTCTGGGGGCCCCTGCCGCGCAAGCCACCTGAGGCCTGGGCCCCTTGAGCGCCCATGCCTCAGGGCCCCAGGCCTCGGGGCCCACGGGGTGGGTTGGGGGCGGCGAAGTGCTTGCGGGAACTTTGGCTTCGAGTGTCGCGCCGTCGGTTTTTCCCCGCCCTCCGCCCCGCGGAGCGGAGCGACGCGCTGTCAGTTCGCATGGCGTAGCGTGTCGCAGGGGCCACCGCCGCGACGCTCTCTTGGCAACCCTGAATCGTCGCCCACTGGGGCGCGGAGCTTGCCGCGCTTCATGCTTCGCGGCCTGAACCACAGAAGCGCCCCTCTCCAGGGAGGCGGCGCGGGAGCGCGAAGGTGATCGCACTTCGCGCAGCGCGCAGCGCGAAGCGCGGGGTCCCCTAAGGGCCCAGGCCTCAGTTAAATCGGAAGCAGTGCTGTGGTGCCGGCTGGCCTCGGCAGCCCAAGGCCTGCTGGCGTTGCGCCCGGCCCGACGTCCTCCTCTTCCTCGTCATTCTCCTCCTCCTCCTCCTCCTCCTCCTCCTCCTCCTCCTCCTCCTCCTCCTCTTCGTTTTGAGTGAGGCAACCTTCAGCGGCTCGCGGACACACCGCGACTCCCTTCCAGCGATGGCCGATGTCGTGCTCGATATTGGTTCCCACGAGAAACGTGAGATTGCAGCGGAAGCCGAGCTCGTCCCGACCTTTCCATCGCAAGAGTTTCTCGGTCATGGTAAAGGGAAAATAGGTGGCTCTCGTGCTGTTGTGCGTAAGCGATCTGCTGACACCACCGCGAACAACCCTGATGGCGACGCCCCGATGTGCACCGACATTGACGACCTCATCTCTGATGAATACCTGCGCCAAGTGTGCCGTGAGGAGTTCGAATCCATGCGCTCCACCATCACCGCCGAGGCCAGCGGCTCCGTCACCAAGACCCCCGGCGAGAAACACTCCAACCTGGTCCAGACCGCGGTCGCCCCTCGCTTCGGCGCGGTCAACAGGCAGTTCCAGGCCCAGATCGACGAGCACAAGGCCCTCACCTGGCGGCCCAGTCGCGCCTCGAGGATCATGATGACATGATTGTTGCCCTCCAGCAGCAGCTCGCCCAACTCCAGCGCGAGCTCGCGGTCGCGGCCCAGGTCCCCCCTGCTGCTCCTCCCCCGCCTTCCTCGTTCAGTCGCGATCCCGACACGACGGTTGTTATTGCAGTTTCGCAGAAGCCCACCACCTTGGCATCAGTGCAGCTCGAGCTCCGCCAGTGGTTCTCGTCGCTCGATTTCGAGGGTTATGATTACAAGATTGTGCAGCGTGGTGAATCTCCTGCCAGGCGTTTCGAGGTCTCCTTCTCTGGTCCGCCTGCCGCTGCTGCGCGCAAGGCTTCTCGGGCTACTTCCGAGCAGCCTGAAGGCGCGTGGCGCGAGTTCTGGGTCACTCCTCCAGGCGCCGAGCAATGCCGTCTCCACCTCGGCCCTGACAAGAGCCCGAAGCAGATCAAGACCGAGATCACCCTCCGCAGAGCCCGTCAGCTCGTCGACTTACAACACCCTGGCAAGCGCTACTTCTCTGACCGCGAGCGCGGCGTCCTGTCTATTGGCTTGGGCAATATAGTGCAGGTCGAGGTTTAACCATGGCGACGAGCCCCCGAAGATTATGCGGGACATGGCCCAGCTGCGCAAGCACGACATATAATGACATGTCCGAGGTCACGCTCCGCACTGCCACGAAGGAGCTCACGGCGCCGGCGGGCGCTAGCCGGTGGTCCCTGGGAGGGCCGCCAAGGCCGAACTCTGGGAGCGCGCTTGCCCCGCCACCAGGGCCCACCTCTCGCTGGTTAGCGCTCCCGGCGCCAGCGGCTGGCTGCAGGCATGGCCCTGCGCTGAGGTCGGCACGGAGTTCCCGCACAGCTTGATGCAGATCGCTCTGCAGAGGCGCCTGCGGGTGCAGCTGGCGGACGCCGAGACCTTCTGCCCGGCCTGCGACGGCATCCTCGACGTCTACGGCGACCACGCGCTGGTCTGCCCTTGCCGAGGGGACCGGGTCAAGCGGCACAACGCCCTACGAGACCAGGCTTTCTTCGCCACGCAGGCCGCGGGGTTCCCGGGCTCCGAGCTCGAGCGGCCCGGCCTGCTGCAGCCTCGCGCGAGGGGCGAGGGGGGCCCGCCGGGGACGGAGGAGAACGGCGGCGAGCTCGACGACGGCGGCCAGCGCCCGGCGGATGTGTATATTCCCCGTTGGCGTAACGGCGCCCTGGCCGCCCTTGACTTCGCGGTCACCTCGGGGCTGCGGGGTGACTTGCTCGCCGCCTCGGCTGCCGCGCCCGGCGCCGCGGCCGAGCGGTACGAGGAGCAAAATCGCCTCTTCCTCGACACCGAGCGCAGCTGCGCCGCCGTCGGGATCACCTTCATTCCCATGGTGGTCGAGGCGCACGGCGGCGGCTGGGGCAAGGAGGCGCGACGCGCCCTGGCCGTCCTGGCCAAGCGCGCGGCGGACGCCACGGGGGACGACCCCTCGCAGGTGGCGGAGCACGCCCAGCGACTCTCGCATCTCCTCCAGAAGGAGAATGCGCGGGCCGTGCTCCGCAGGCTGCAGGCGCCGGTCGGGGCGCCCGCGGCCAGGCTGGCGGCGGCCACGGCGGCTAGCGCGGCCGACGCCGCCTGAACCGCCGCCCTCCCCTGGCCACGACCACTCCCTCCACTGACCACGACCGCCGCCCCCGACGCCCTGCCCCGACGACCCCCCCTGGCCTTGGCCACGACGACGACCACCTCCGTCCGCCCCCTGCTTGCTCTGCGCTGCCTCTGCTGCCTCCCTCCCTCCTTCTGGTCAGCGTCTGTTCGGTGTGTTTTTCCTCTTGCCCCTCGTCTTCCTCATCCTCCTCCTCCTCCTTTTCCTTCTCCTGTCGCCTGGGATGTTGCAGAGGCCCCGCGGCTACGGCAGCTGGAGCAGCCAGGAGATGCGGGCACGGCAGCAAGATGCCGCCGAAGGGCTGAGCATGTCCAGTTGCTTTGCCGCGCTGGGACGCGGCTCGAGCGTGATTCCGCGCTGGCGCCTGGCATGTTTCAGAGGCTTTGCGGTTCGCTGCTCGTCTTTTGCGTTCCCATGCTCCTCCACCTGGTCAGCAATGGTCACCATTGAGGTTTGCCATGTGGATTTCTCGTGCATTGCTTCAGGCGGGCGGCGACAAGGCCTCCTTGAAGCGTGGGTATATTTCTAGATTGGGGCTATCGCGCGTTATCCTTCCTCCGTGAGGTCCACGAGGATCACCGCCAGCTCGTTTCCTTCCTTGGCACCATCGCGGGCGGCCTCGTGGTGCACTCCAGCTTCTGCGGCGACGATGCGGGTGGCCGCGTCAGGGGTGGCGTTGCAGTTGCGCTTCCTCCTCTGGCGTGTGCTTGGCAGGTTTTGGCGACATCGTCGCACCCAGTTATCGTTCCTGGGCGGGTCCTGCAGGTGGAGGCGTCGGCCGGCGAATCGCCCCTGCTCACTTTCAACAACCGCAACCTCGACCTGTCCGCCGACGACGCGCAGAGCGTGGCTGCCGAGGTTTGCTCGGCTCGGGCCGTCGCCGCCAACGCTCCTGACGGGTGCCTGGTGGTGGTTCACGGCGACTTGATTTTCGCCTCGCGCGAGTCGGTCTCGCTGCACATGCCTGCTGCCTCCGCGCGTCGCATCGCGCGCCAGCGCCGCGCCCGGGCCCCCAAGTGGCGGGCAGCGCTGGCGCCTGTGACAGAGATCGAGTGCGACGAGCCTACGCGCGACGAGAAGCAAAACAATGCCGCGGCCATCATCGACATGTTCTGTTGCTCTCTGACGGGCTGGCAGTTGCGCCAGGTGCGGGTGCAAGTTTCTCCGCTCGACTCCGCGGCCCTCGTCTCTAACCGCTCGATTTCTGACGACGCGGCCGCCATTGTCTCGTTCGCCCCTCGTGCTGTTCGCCCCTTCGAGCAACTGGCGATAGCCGAGCGCATCTTCTGGGGGCCAGCCGTCAAGCGGCGCCCCGCGGGCCTCGCGCAGTCCGCCAACTTGGCCCCCATGTCGCCTCCTGTCAGACTTGAAACCTACAAGAGTCTCAGGAAAATAACTGCTGCTGAAGTACGTGACTCTCTCTTGCGCCATCGCCCTCACCACCGTCGCGCTCTTCCTCAGCTCGCCCGTTCGCTCGCCAGGGTCGTGTGGAGGCAGGGCGTTCGTCTCGCAGGCCGCCTGATTGACGCCCGCCCTGCGGCCGCTGATATGATCTCCATGGCCAGCGATTCGGTTGGGCTCAGACATCCGCCCGCGTTCCAGTCGTGGATTGACCGTGCGCGGACCGAGGTTGCCGACGCTCGCTCGGCAGAGCTCGAGGCGCAGAGGAAGGCCTCTGGCGATCGTTCCCAGCCGCGCAAACAGATTCGCGCCCTCGAGCGGAAGGCGAGGACCTGGCCCCCCATCAATCGAAGGATTTCTCTCCCAGGTGCGTCTGCGCCAGATGGGTCTGCACTCGCGTCGGAACGTGACCGACTGCGTGAGCTCGGCGCTTTCTGGGCACCTGTCTTTCAGAGGGCGGAGCGGGATCGTGCTGCTGATGTTCCTTACCTTCGTGCCCTGCTCCCCCGTGCGGGTGACTTCCGCATGCCCCCGCCATCTCGCGCCGTGCTCCGTCGGGTTTTGCGTTCTGCTCGGCATTCCGCTCCCGGCCCTGGCGCCCTCCCCCGCGCCGCGTGGGTCGCCGACTCATTTGGGGAGATTGTTCTCTGGGGTGCCTTGGAGTGGGTCCTCGGGGGCCGAGAGTTGCCCGCTTCGCCCAGCGACGCGATCCAGATTTTCTCGCCGTAAAGCGATGTAAAACGTCACGGGCCACGAGCTTAGGGGCCAGTCTTGCATGTGGGCGCCAGATGAAGTTGCGTTCGTGGTCTCCGTAATTGCGACCTTAACTTGGTCTCTGCCGCCGTCGACCGCGCCGCCCGTCCAGCGCTTACTCAGCTCTCACCTGACTGTCAGGGGGGGTTCGTTCCTGGCCGCAACATAGGGAGCGACATCCTGGAGCTCGACGTCTCGAGTCGCATTCTGTCCGTCACTCCCCCGGCCTCCCAGAACATCCTCATCCTTTACTCCCTGGACTTCGGCCAGGCCTTCCCGTCGCTGAACCAGGACTTCCGTCTGCTCGCGGTGGCCCCCTTTGGCGTCCCCGACGCGCCCCTCGCCTTCGTCGGGTTCTTGTGCTCGTCGATCGAGGGCCTCGTGGCCCACCTCGGCCCCTTCGAGCGGCTCGGGCCTCAGGGCTTGAACGGGCGATATCGGCGGTGCTTCGGCGCCAGTCCAGGAGCTGCGTCGCGCGCGCGATGTCATGTCCAAGGCCTCGTCCACGGCCAACTCGGCGCTCGAGGTCGCCGAGTGCAAGCTCGCCCCCCCCCCCGCCGGGCCCAGAAGGCGGCCGACGCCATCGACGCTGCGTTTCATGAGTGGAGCCCCATTCGAGATCGTGCCATCGCTGGTTTACTTGGGTTTGTGGATCGGCCCTGGTGGCACTAAGCAAGCGCCCTGGTCTGACCCCGTAGCAAAGCTCCTTCTGCGGGCTCGAGCAATTGGCCGGGGAACCACTCCAACCAGCCTGTCTGCAATACTGTGCAACGCCAGAGCGGTCTCTACCATTTCGTGCGCGGCGCAGTTCTGCTGGCTGACTCAGGGCGCGCTCCAGCCCGAGCTCGCGGTGCTCGCGCAGGTAGTCCGCACCCCCCTGGGCACGTTCTCAATGGGCGCGCGGGTTCAGCTTGAGCGGTGGGGTGGCCCCCGCCGTGTCCGCTGGGGGCACTTGGCCGTCGCCTCCATCGCGCGGGCGGCTCTGCTTTCCTCGGTGGTCGGAGTGGCGCCAGCAGTTGCGCGGCCACTCCGTGGTGGACAGCGACTGGCGCACGTGTTGCATGTCGTGTTCTGGACGCCCGTATCCATCCCTCTGGAAGGCCCCCGCGTTTGTCGAGACTTCGGAAGCTGCCGCTAGAGCTCATCAGAGACCTGGCCAGCTGCGTCGCCTGGTCCCGTTCGCTACTGCCGCTGCCCGCGAAGCGCTCCAGGGACCTGCTGACCGCCGTCATCGGCCTCAACGTGCTGCTCACCCTGTTATGCGCCAGCTCGCAAGGACGCGGCCCCCCTGGCGGCTTTGTTCGAGATGCGGCTCCGCAAGTTTGCTGGTCGATCAAGGCGCCTGCTCTCCGACATCGACTGGCCTCGCTGTCTCACCATTCTCCGTCGGTGCCCCCCTTCGTGGGCATGGGCGGCGTTGCGTGCGCGGTGTGATGGGTGGGTGACAAGTTCGAGGGTCATCCCCCCATGCGGCCTGCGGGCGTGCGCATGTGGATGCATTGGCAAGCTCGACTCCCTGCGTCACTACGCTCGCTGCCCCGTGCTGCGCCGTGCGCCCTGACGTGCTCTCGCGCGGCCGTTCCCGCTCGATCGGCGTTCGCGGTGGGGCCTTTGCTTCCCTGAGCTGTCCGCGGATGCTAGGATGGCGGCTGCGTGCAACACGCACAACGAGACGATGCCAATCCCGACGCGGCCTCTCATGCCCAAGCAGATCGTCTCAGCGCCCCTCGCACGCGCGCGTGCTATGACGCTTGCTGCGCCAACTGGCGTTACCGACGGCGAGAGTCAAACGATGGGCACGAGGGAATATCGCGTCTCTCCACCACTCCACCACAATCTCCCAGCTCGTTATCGCCGCGCCTTACGCCAGCAGTGTCCTCATCGGACTCTTCGGCGCCGTCTGACGCCACCGCCGACGCCGAGCTTGCTACTGCCCCTGGCGGTGCTAATCATGCCCTGGGTATCCCATCGGCCACTTCGCCCCCGTCTCCCTCGCAGATGGCTACGTCGTCTCCCGTGAGACCGCAGGCCCCGACCACGCGTTCGCGCTCTCCGTCGCCGTGGGATAAAGGTTTCGAGGGATGCCCTCAAGACCTTGGCGTTCAATCACAAATCCCGTCCGCATATTCGGGCTCGCCGTCGCCGCGCGCAGGAGGAAATGCTGGCCATTTGTTTGGCCGTGGCGTTAGATCGCAAGTCCCGTTGTCGCGTTCGGGCTCAGCGTCGCCACGCCTCGGCGAAAATCATGGCGCCTTCGCCGCCACTGGCGTTAGAGCGCAAGTCCCGTTGTCGCATTCAGGCTCGCCGTGGCCACGTGCTGGCTGGTTTGCGGTCCCGGCGGATGGCCGAGGGGTCAGATTGCAAGTCCCGTTGTCGTGTTCGGGCTCGACGTCGCCGCGCGCTGGAGGAACTCGCGGCGCTCTCACTGCCATCGGTGTTAGAACGCTAATCCCGTTGTCGTGTTCGGGCTCGCCGTCGCCACTTGCTGGAAGAGATGCCTGTCTCTCGGCTCCCATTGGCGTTGGATCGTATGTCCCGTTGTCGTCTGGGCTCGCTGTCGCCACGTGTCCCCTATGGCGTTAAAGCGCAAGTACCGCTCTCGGGTTCGTGGTCTACGTCGCCACGCCCCTGCGTGGCGGACACGACCGCTGACGCCATCGGTGCGCCGTCCTCTCCGCAGGGTGTCAGGGGGCCGATGACGCCGTCGACGCCCGTGACCTTCTCGCCTCGAGTTGGGTCGTCCCCATTGCGTGCCGCGAGCGGTTCGATGGCGGCCTCCTCCTCGACGCCGATTGCGTCGACTCGCGCTCGGTCCTTGCCGTCGAGACGAATCTTCTCCACGTGTCTAGTGGCGAGAGCTCTGAGCCTCTCCAGGCCGCCTTTCCTTCAACTGTCTCCGTGCGCGCTGTCCCCCTTCCTCGCTCGTGGCCCGCCCTCTGCTCCCATCCAACGTTCATGTCCAGCGCTCGTCTCCCCTGGCGGTCGTTTCTCCTCCTGCTCGCCCGTCGCTCCTGAATCCTCCTGCCTCTGCTTCGGCTTGCTCCCCGCACGCTTCTTCCCTCCTGACCACCGCTGCTACGCCTGCGCCACCTTCCCCCGCTCCGTCCTTCGGTTCCTCGTGGCCTGCTTTTGCCGTTGCCTGCCCCCCGCCCGCTCCTCCCTCTCTGGATGCCGCTTCGAAGCCGCCGCTCGCCTCGTCATGATGTCACGCCGTCCACGCGTCGGTTTCCCGCCTCATCTGTTCATGCGAGTTCGATGCCACCTATGTCCGTCTTGGCGGCTGGCCCGCCGTGCTCGCCATCATCGCTTCTGCATTGTCCTGGTCGCCCCGACCTTCTTCCCCCCGCTGCCGACGTGCGGGGCGGCGGCCACTTCTTCGTCAGGTAGGTCAAGGCCTGGCCCGCGCCCCCTCCTTACGCTGGGCTCCTCCTCCTCCTCCTCGTCCTCCTCCTCCTCCTCCTCCTCCTCCTCCTCCTCCTCCTCCTCCTCCTCCTCCCACCACCTCCTCCTCCTCCCACCACTCCTCCCCGTTATCCTCCTCCATTCCTTCTCCTTATATATAACTTCCCCCTTTCTCACCCCGAGGCCAGTTTTTAGGGCGGGCCGGCCGTTTCGCCTGATATTTCTTCACCATTCATGATTCTGAAGCTTAAGAAACGACAGCAGTTTCACAGATGGACGGCGGGTCGTTTTCAAAATGTGGCTCTCGCCCTAGCGCCGCGCACACTCGTCTTAAACATTTGCAGGAGCTTCACGGATTGAGGGCGGATGGTTTTCAAAATGTGGCTCTCGCCTTAGCGCCGCGCGCACCCGTTTTAAACATTTGCAAGTGTTTAACGGATTGAGAGCGGGTCGTTTTTAAAATGTGGTTCTCGCCTTAGCGCCGCGCACGTTCGCTTTAACAGATTGCAAGAGTTTCGCGGTTCCCGCTGATCAACGTACCAGCAGTGGTATTTTGGGAGGATTCAGAACTATGCGGGTACAACAGTTATGTTCTTCGCGGTGTTGAAGTCCCAAACATGTCGTTCTGGTACGATTCCAGATCGTCAAGACGCAGCAGTCAGGTTTATACGTGGCGTTGAAAACCCGAGAACAGGCATGCTTCCAGATTTTCAAACGGTTGTCTTCCAACGAGGCAGTTCCCTCAATGGAAATAAACTGTTGTATGGGGCCTATGAAGAGGGAGCTTGCAGGGAAGGTCAATTCCAACATCGTTGATGACTCTTGGGTTTGCACTGGTTTTCGTCCTCCTTTTCCTCCTCCTCCTCCTCCTCCTCCTCATTGCTTCCGCCGCGCCGGTGGCGTTGCGTGTCGCGGGCGCTGAACCGCTGCAAGGCGACCACCGGTTGCCCCCGCGAAGTGGCTCTGGCAGTGCCCCCCCTGTCTGCCGGGGTCCGTCCGCGCAGGGCCTGAGGCGGCCAGCTCGCAGAGGGAAAGCCAGAGTCGCCTCTGAGTCCAATCTCATGGGCCTGTTTTCCACCACCACCACCATAAGTTGGAGGGGGGAAGGAGGTAGAGGATGAGGAGGAGGACGAGGAGGAGGAGGAGGAGGAGGACCCCCTCCCCCTCCCACTTATGGTAGTGGTGGTGGAAAACACGCTCACCACAATCGCCGGATCATGGCGTAACCTTCTCGCCGGTTCCAAGGCCGATTACGGTCGGACCGGGGTCTAAGACTGAGGTCGGCTTGGGGAGGGTACCCTGGTGGTCTTCGTGATTGTTGGATGCTCCTGTGCATCCTGGGGGGGTGTACCCTCGAATCTTATTCGGTTTGGCCGGCGGAGGGTCTCATGCTCTTGAACTGTGTGCTTTTGTCCCAGGTCCGACCGTAACCTTCTCGCCAGTTCCGAGGACACCTACGGACGGGAGCTTTTGGGTCGCGTCGCGGCGGTGGCCCCGGCGACGCGCTATGCGTTGCAAGCGGGTGGCGTGTCGCTCCACTTCGCGGAGCGGGAGGCTTGGAAAAGATCGGCAGGCGGTTGCTTGATGACCGCGAAGTGGATATCCTGTCGCGTCCACGCGTGGTGGGCCAGAACTGGCGGAGCCACGCGCTATCCAAAAGTTCCCGACCGCATGACCGTTGGGGACCAGGGGGGTATTGAGTTATCTTGTAAAGGCGGTGTTGTGGACACTACGCTCTCTCAGTGATTTCCAGCTGCCTGTGCGGCAAACAACCGTCAACGTGCAAGTGCTGAGCCGAGGTAGCCTTCCAGATTTCTCTACCATGAGTCCACCACAGTTTTATACAGTATTCGAATCGGCTCCGTCATCGCTCTTTCGTGGCCTCCCGAAGAGCCTAGGTAAAAACACGTTTCCACGGACCCCGTTGGCCCTCTTGACATGTTTGGGCCGCTCTACCAGGCTCTCCCGAAAAGGCTTGGTAGAATCATATTGGGGCCGTCTGGAGGGGCTGTGGGGCCGTCTGGGATCCGGTAAGTTGTTTTTAGGAGTCTTCGGGCCATCCTTGGGCCCTCTCGGGGCCGTCTTGGTCCGTCTCGGCGTTTCTTGGGCCCCTGTTGGGCTCTCTTGGGCCCCGCTTGGGCTCTCTTGGGCCTTATGCAGCGTTCCCGAGGCCATCTTCGAACGAACAGCTTGGGAAGCTCAGGCACGAAAACCAGAACGGAGGAGGAGCAGGAGGAGGAGGAGGACCAGTGTAAACCCAAGACGCATCAAGTAGAACCCCCTCCCTCCAAGTCCCTCTTCATAGGCCCCTACACGAATTTATGATCATTGCGGGAAGTGCCCCATTGGGATACATCCGTTTGAGAATCCTCAGTTGTGTCATAACGCAAATCCAAGGAGTGCAGCACCGCGAATCAACGTGATTGTTGCGTCCTGACAATCCTTAGTATTCCAAGAACGCCACTCCTGAGATGTGGACACCGCGAATCAACGTGGTTGTTGCGCCCTGACAATTCCAAGCCGTGTCGGAGCAACATTCTTGGGACGTCAGTCATAGTAATTATTGTTGTAATTTACAAGAGGCTTACGCCATTCCGCCGACCTCCAGAAGAGGCTGGGAGTCCATGGTTGAGGCGCCGTGGGCTTCTTAGGCACTACTTGGGCACTCTTGTGGGTGTGTTGGGAGCTGTTTGGGGGCCTGGCGGAGTCCTTGGGAGGCAGTTTTGAAGCGTCTTGGGGGCCGTTTTGGAGCCTCTTGGGGGCCTCTTTCGGGCGGCTTGGGGGATTCTTGGGGTCTTTGAGGGGCCTCTTCGGGCGCAAAGAGCAGTGTTTTCCTTCATGGTCTCTCTTGGGGCCTTTTTGATGTGATCTTTGGCCGTCTTGGACCCGTCTTTGGGCTGTCTCGGAACCCTCTTAGGCCGTCCTAGGCCTCGTAGGGGCCTCTTGGGCAGTTTCGGGACGGTCTAAGGGGCCTCTTCGGCAGTCTTGGAGCGTCGGAAGCTCGAGATGACGATAACCCCAGAAACAATGAAAACCTAAGGAACACCATTGATTTTTGCCTCTCGGGGCCCTCTTGGGAAAGCTATTGGTCCTCTCTCGGGGCGTCTCGAATGCGTCTTGGAACCATCGTAGGAGTCTTGGGCCAATCGTTCGGCGATGTGGGACTGTCTTAGAGAGTCGTTGAAGGCAGACTTGGAAGCTCCGGGGTCTCCAGGGATGCGCCACGGAGCCCGGATACCCCCCCCTTAAAAGAGATGTTGGATCCTGGGGGAAGGAGAAAGGAGGAGGGTGACAGCCAATCATCTCGTACGCCTTCTCACACGCGGCAAGCGGGGGTCGGCGGATTTTGAATGAAAGCGCACGGCGCTCAGGCGAGATCTACATGTTGAAAAGGAGTCGCCCTCCATCCGTGAAGCTTTGAGACGAATGTGCGCGGCGCTCAGGCGACAGCCGCCCTCCATCCGTGAGCCGATTATAATTGCTTTGAACGAATGAGCGCGGCGCTGAGGCGAGAGCCACGTTTTCAAAATGGGCCGCCCTCATCCGTGAAGCTACATTTACTGGCCACGTTCCATCTATGAAGCTGCTTCGGCAGTTTTGAGTCGTGTGCGCGGCGCTAATGCGAGAGCCTTAAAACAAAAAACGGCCCGCCCTCCATCCGTGTTTTTTTTTTTGTTGTGCAAATTCCACGTTTCAGGATCATAGATGGTGAGGAAGTCTTAGGCGAAATGCCCTGACCGCCCCACCGACAGGTGTGGGGCTGCGACAGAGAGGAGTTATTCATAAGAAGAATGGATGGAGAAGTAAAGAGGAGGATCAGTATGCGGCGCATGGCAAAGCTGTGCAGGGCGGCGCGCAGCTGCCCACAGCAGCACGGTGCATGGCAATGCCAGGCAAGACAAGGCACAGCAAGCCAGTCGATGCAAGGCAACTGGGGGGTCAAAACAGTGAAAGGCGGGATTGGACAGCCGAGCGTGGGAGCCCAGGTCCCCCGCGGGGGCGCGAGGGTAATCGCGTTTTTCGCGTCGCTGATTGGGCCAGAGCGGTTGCTCTTCTGGGGGTGGACGGTGCGAATGCGCGAGGGCGCGAAGATAGTCGCGCGTCGCGCATCGCAGGGCGCGGTGCGCGAAGTTAGGTGACCGAGCCATTCCGTGGGGCGTGCAGCATGGAAGAGGACGCAGAGCAGCATAGAAGTGGGCCCCCCTTACTCCGCTACTCCACCTTTTCGCCTGATTCGAAGTCGGCATCAGGCGAAACGCAGCACAGGCAGGCGCGAGTGGACAAAGAGTGACCCCCCAGTGCTCGCGCGAGTCTGAAGTCAAGTTTGAGTCTTGGGGGAGGAGGGTGGAACACGACGTCGATCACGAAGGGGTGCACCCTGTTGGCCCTTTACCCGAGGAGCTGGAGAGGTCTAGATATAACGCGCTAGCAAGAGCAACCCGCGAGCAAAGATACATGTTCAAACATATGTCAGCACGACTGTCTGCCTGCAGCGTATGCGGGTACTGAAGAACGAGGCTACACTCGCACTCTGCCTACCAGCTGAAATTCGATGTGCTTGTGCATCATGCTCAAGCGCTTCACAATCTCGGGCGTCGGTCGCACATTGTGCCCTCCAACAATGAGAGGTGTTTGATGTCTTACACATTCAGCCCGAACTACCGTATTCAGTGTGGATTGACGCCCGCAGACTTGCGGTACCACTTACAGTCGCGCGCACGGATTTGCGATACGTGCTTGGAACAAGTTGGTTTTGCGGCCGTAGCCGAGCCGCCTGCAGTACTAACATTACGTGGTACGTACGTGCACAGTAGCGACCGTCCGCCCGCACGTGTTGCAAGCTTGCATTTGCAGAGCAGTGGGTTCTGCGCGCACTTGTCCCTCAGCGGCTGCGTTGATTTACAGTGTGCGCGCTATGTGTTGAGCAGCTCTGTGCGTGAAGACACGTGTTGAGGATGCTGCGTCTTGCCGATTAGGCGTCGCGTTGCGTTGCCTTGGAGGCGGGGGGCTTGGAAGTGGGAAGGCAAGGCATGCGAATGGTACAATATTCGGCACTGGGCATGGAAAGTCGTCAGCGGAGTGGCGGGGCGTTGCAGGGGTTTAAAGGAGTGAGTGTTCCAGAGTCTTGGCAATCCATACGCGTATACGTATATATATATATATATATATATATATATATATACACATATAACGGCGCACCGGGTCCGGGGGCCCGGGGCCGGGACCTCGACCACAAATGTGCGCCCCGGGGGGCCCGGAGGCTCGTCGGGGCTTGCCGGAGGCCTCCCCGGTCAGACAAGACGGCCCCAGGAGCGCCCAAGACGGCCCAAGAAACTTCCAAGAGGCCTCCAAGAGGGCTCCGAGATGCTGAAGATGGCCTCCAGACGTCCAAGGACGCCCCCAAGAGGCCCCAAGAAGCCTCCAACATGCGTCCCAAGAGGGCCCCTAGACGCAAAATTGGCCCATTCCCTTCGTAAAACGTACATTTTTCAACAAAGTTGCTTTTTGGGCTTTCCGACGTTACAGGACGGCCCACGAGGCGCCCAAGACCGCCCCAAGACGGCCCAAGAAGCCCCCAGGACAGCCCAAGAGGGCCCCAAGACGGCCCAAGAGGCGCCCAAGATGGCCCAAGAGGGCCCCAAGACGGGCCCAAGAGGGGGCCCAGAGGGGGACCACGAACCGCAAGCTCGAGCCTTCCGCCCCAAGAGGCCGCCAGGAGGCCCCCAGGAGGCCCCTCAAGAGGCCCCAGGAGACCCCAGACGTCCAAGGACGCCCCCAAGACGCCCCAAGAAGCCTCCAACATGCGTCCCAAGAGGGCCCCTAGACGCAAAAGTTGGCCCATTCCCTTCGTAAAACGTACATTTTCAACAAAGTTGCCTTTTGGGCTTTCCGACGTTACAGGACGGCCCAAGAGGCGCCCAAGACCGCCCCAAGACGGCCCAAGAAGCTTCCAAGAGGGCCCCAGGACAGCCCAAGAGGGCCCCAAGACGGCCCAAGAGGCGCCCAAGATGGCCCAAGAGGGCCCCAAGACGGGCCCAAGAGGGGGCCCAGAGGGGGACCACGAACCGCAAGCTCGAGCCTTCCGCCCCAAGAGGCCGCCAGGAGGCCCCCAGGAGGCCCCTCAAGAGGCCCCAGGAGACCCCAGACGTCCAAGGACGCCCCCAAGAGGCCCCAAGAAGCCTCCAACATGCGTCCCAAGAGGGCCCCTAGACGCAAAAGTTGGCCCATTCCCTTCGTAAAACGTACATTTTCAACAAAGTTGTCTTTTGGGCTTTCCGACGTTACAGGACGGCCCAAGAGGCGCCCAAGACCGCCCCAAGACGGCCCAAGAAGCTTCCAAGAGGGCCCCAGGACAGCCCAATAGGGCCCCAAGACGGCCCAAGAGGCGCCCAAGATGGCCCAAGAGGGCCCCAAGACGGGCCCAAGAGGGGGCCCAGAGGGGGACCACGAACCGCAAGCTCGAGCCTTCCGCCCCAAGAGGCCGCCAGGAGGCCCCCAGGAGGCCCCTCAAGAGGCCCCAGGAGACCCCAGACGTCCAAGGACGCCCCCAAGAGGCCCCAAGAAGCCTCCAACATGCGTCCCAAGAGGGCCCCTAGACGCAAAAATTGGCCCATTCCCTTCGTAAAACGTACATTTTCAACAAAGTCGCCTTTTGGGCTTTCCGACGTTACAGGACGGCCCAAGAGGCGCCCAAGACCGCCCCAAGACGGCCCAAGAAGCTTCCAAGAGGGCCCCAGGACAGCCCAAGAGGGCCCCAAGACGGCCCAAGAGGCGCCCAAGATGGCCCAAGAGGGCCCCAAGACGGGCCCAAGAGGGGGCCCAGAGGGGGACCACGAACCGCAAGCTCGAGCCTTCCGCCCCAAGAGGCCGCCAGGAGGCCCCCAGGAGGCCCCTCAAGAGGCCCCAGGAGACCCCAGACGTCCAAGGACGCCCCCACGACGCTTCGCGTCACCAATTTCTTCTCACAACGATTCCTGGGTCTGTGACTCGACAGAACCTAAGCGCGCGCGAAGCGCGCGCGTGGTTCTAGTATATATATATATATATATATATATATATTATATATATATATGTATAATATATATATATATATATATATGTACACATCTATATTATTACAGTGCGTGTCCCCCTTGTCGTCCACACTCTAGGTGGAGGTCCTCCGACGCATCTCCCACCCCAACATCGTACGCTTCCGCGACCTGAAGAAGAGCGCGTCGCACTTCTACTTGGCGCGGAGCTCAGCAAGATGTATATTCTCACTTGCTCGCAGCATGGATGTCCAACCACTCAGTACGGTCAATTTGGTCCGATCGTTCCATCACCTAGGGGGGACATGTGGCTTTCAGAACTGTCTACTCTGCTTGTTAGACCTTTGGTTGAGCAAGAGACCTTCCTGACTCCATATGCCGCTGCATTTCCAAGTGTGTACTATGGAGTGGGGCCCTGCGACAGGGAGCACTGTTGTCGTGCCGGTGCAAATGCAGGAACACGTTCACTGCATGCTGCCAAGCTGCCACGACGATGCCCAGGCAGACACCCAGGACGAGTGCACATTCTGGACAATTCGCGTATCCCTTCCCGGCCCGCCCAGAACGGCGCCCAGGCGAGCTGTTCTGACCGGGGAAGCGTAGGAATATGCAGTGAAGCACAGAGAAGGGACAGCTGTCAAGCAGAATCTTGGGGTCGGCCTGAGCAGGTCAAGGAGAGAGCCAGACATGTCTCCGCGGCCCTGTCGCAAGAAGAGGAGGGGAGGAGGAGGAGGAGGGAGGAGGAGGAGGAGGAGGAAGCGGCGGAGAATGGAGAGGAGGAGGAGGAGGAGGAGGACCACGAGGAGGAGGAGGAGGAGGAGGAGAAGGAGGAGGAGGAGGAACACGAGGAGGAGAAGGAGGAGCAGTATGCGCGAAGAGGGGGGAGGAGGAGCGTGAATCTGAGCGGGAGGTGCAGGTGGGAGGAGCGCGATTAGAAGGAATGAGGATTTGACCGACCACGTTGCCACTGATTTCTGGTGACTCGTACGTGGGAGGAGGATGAGGAGCTGGGAAAAGGAGGCGGAGGGGGAAAATGGGGAAGAAGGTGACGACGATGGCGACGACGACACCAATAGGAGTCGACCATGAAAGGCCTTCGCGGAGGTCGCCCCAAACCATATTGGAGCCATCTTGGTGCCAAAATGGGAGCCCTCACGGGGCTCTCGTGGGGCCCCTTTGGAGGCATTGGGAGGCCATCTGGGATACCATCGATCACAGAAGGGGGGCTCCTAATTACGCCCCCCCAACCCCTGTCGGAACCTTCAACATCGCATGTTGAGCCCCCCCTGGGGCGTTCGTGGGCGTTCTTGGGGCTGTCTTGGAGCCTGCCCTGGGCCCTTCTTGGGGCTCTCTTGGGCCATCCTGGTGCGGTCTTGCGGGGCTCAGAAGCCCATCTGAAGCAAAAGGGCCAGAATGCACAAGTCATGCCTTCACTTTCCGCAGTGGAAGGAATTGGGCCTCTCGGGAGCGTCATTGAGAGGCCTCGTGGCCTCTTGGAGCCGCCTTGGGCAGTCTTGGGATCTCTTGGGGGCATGCCGGAGGCCATTTAGGGATACCTTAAGCCATGTTGGAGGCCGACTTGGGCTATACAGGGCCATCGTGGACGCTCTAACTCCCTGCCATCCCCCCGCCGTCCAGACCGTGGAAAGGGGGCAGGGGGATGGGTGAACCCCGAGGGTTAGCTGACCAACTTTGTTAAGCCACCCACGCCCAGAGGGCTGGTGGGATCTGGAGATAACAGTATCGAAGCGTAGTTCTGCCATCCTTGCGGCACTGCCTGGGCACGACGTCAGTTCTACACCTCTGCGGACCAACGAGTTGATGCACTTCGACAATAAGGGGCAACCACGATTGTCACGAGGTCTGCGAGGGGGAACATCTTGGGAAACTTATTTGTGGGCAACTGGGGCTTTCGGAGCCACGGGGCCGGGTTCCATAGGTCACCTCTATGCGCTTCGTGTGCTACTCTGCAACACCCTGGGAGCGATCCGCAGCCGTTTGGGCTCAAGCTACGCGGCGATCTCGGCAGTACCCTTCCGCGACGTGCTGGTGTGGCCACCCCATCATGACTTATGAGGAGTCTTTCTGCAATGATGCCTTGAAACACCCAGAGAATTGCACACGCCTCGAGGTGGCAACGGAGCTCGGCACATACATGACGGGCGGTGCGCTCGCGGACATCCCCTGGATGCTTCCTGCCCCCCTGAGCTTGTTGTTCACGGTGGCAGTCATCGGGGCGATGGCGTATTTCGTGTGGTACAGCAAGACGCGCAAGGAGCCAGGAGGCGGATCGGGCTCTGGCGGCAGGGTATACTACGTGGACAATTGCCGTTTTTTCCTCGAGACGCTGGTCATCTCAAAGCACATGGTGTCTTGGTTTTACGATGGAAGATTGCAGAATAATTACGATTGCTGGTATATGACTGCCCTCACGAACTGGACCGAGTCTTTCCACATGGCCATGTTCGCTTGTTGCAGTGGTTTGCTGTCGAAGGGCTACCTGACCCCAGCCCGCTCCAAGCGGACCATGATGAGAGTCGTGGTGCCCTTTATTCTGCTGAATTGGCTGGTGTACCCGGTCAGCCAGTATATTATTCTTGGGAAGCCAACTCCTTCGCATTGGCATATCATCCCGAGCCCCTTGGTTCACGAAGGTATTCTGTGGTTCCTGTACTCTTGGCTGTTCTGGAGGATTACAACAGGCGTATTCCTTTCCACGATGCCCCCACACACGATGCTAATCGTCAGTTACCTGATCTCTTGGATGGGCGGGTACTGGTTCGAAGACGTGGGATACCTGAGCCTCGATACGAGCTTCGCCTGGCTCCCCATGTACTGCACGGGCTACGTGATCCCGCTCCGCTCCCTCGAGGCGCTGGACAAGAGGTGGGTCAAGGCGTGCGGGTTGGTGGTGACCGTGCTCATCCTGAGCTTGCACTTGTCATTCGCCTACCTCGCGGACCCGGACGTGGGAGAGCTCGGGGTCGGGGTGGGCCCAGACAGCGTCGACCACGACCAGGCCTTCGACTATGGCCTCTACTTCCAGCCGTGGATGTCCGCCTCGAGCCGACACTTCTACTTTCAGCACCAGGTTCACGTCAAGTTTAAAGAGCCCAGCATTTACTGGACCGCATGGACTCAGCGCGTGGTGTTTCAGTTCCTCGTGACCTGGCCGACAGGAGTTGCTCTGATGGCTCTGGTGCCGCACTCGCAGAAGTTCTTCACAGAGTGGGGGTCCCGCACCATGTACGCGTACGTTGGACAGGTAATCTCGAAGATGATCCTCATGCGCGTCTTTCTGTCCTGCTTCGACACCGACAAGCCGTTCGGCGCGACGGGCGACCAAATGTTTGGTCCGTTGATGTCGCTCGTGTTCGGCATCGCCCTTGGGCTGATCACGAACGTGTCCTGGGCGTGTAGCTACACGCATATGTGGATGAAGTACATCATGGAGCCAGAGTGGGTATTCGCGGTCTTCCTGGACGACGACCAGCTTTTGGAGCTGACCGCGGAGAAGAAGGTTAGCAAGCCGCCGCCGCCGCCGCCCCCGCCCGCCAAGAACGACGTGGAAGAGAATGACGAGGACGACGAGGACGACGACGGCGATGGCTCCGACGACAGCAGCGAGGAGACCCTGAAGCCGCTGTGGAGGCGGCTCTTTTGAGGGCACCCGTTCTTGCTGAGGGCGGCCACGACCTTCGTGCGCTGGCCTGCAGGGCGAAGAGAATAGCAACGATGAAGAGCAGGCGGGGGAGGAGGCGGAGGAGGAGGAGAGGGAGGAGGATAAGGAGGAGGAAGAGGAACAGGAAGAGGACGAGGAGGAGGAAGAGAAGGAGGAGGAGGAGGAGGAGGAGGGAAAAAGGAGCATGAGAAGCAGGGCGGAGGATGAGAAGCAGGAAGAGCAGGAGGAGCAAGGGGAGCAAGCAAAGAAGGAGGGGACAATTAATTTTCGGAGGAGGAGGAGGAAGAAGAAGAAGAAGAAGACGACGAAGAAGAAAAAAGAGGAGGAGGAGGACGAGACGAGAGAGGAGGACATTCCTGGGGGCGGCAAGCCGCGGATGCCCGCTCACACGCCCGGGCACACCCCGCTGCGAGCTGAGTCCCCCGCCCCCGCTGCGAACCCCCGCCCCGCCACCCCGCGAGCTGGATCCGACGATCTGCCAGGCCGACGCTCCTGCGGCCGACCTGTCTAGGACCTTCGGGTGGGGCCAGGGCCCCTCCTCATCCTGCATCCCCTTGCCTCACAGATAACGCCTCCTGTCGCACCCCGAGACTGGCTGGTAGGGCGGGCCTGGCGTTTCGCTGGAGACTTCATTACCATTTATGAGCCTGAATCTTCAGAGTGCGCAAGAGGTTTACGAATGGTGCGCGGGCGGTTAGTTGGTGGCTCTCGTTTTAGCGCCGCGCAAGTTCGCTTCCAAAGTTTGCAGTAGCTCCACGGATGGAGGGCGGCCACAATGTGGTTCTCGCCCTATCGCGGCGCACATTCGTTTTTAAAGCCTGCAAGACCTTCGCGGATTGAGAGCGATACGTTTGCAAAATGTGGTTCTCGCCTTAGCGCGGCGAACATTCGTTTTAAATTTACAAGTTGGCAAGAGCTTCGCAGGTGGAGGGCGGCTCCTCTTCAGAATGTTGTTCTCGCTTTAGCGCCGCGCACATTCGTCTTCACAGTTGACAGCAGTTTCAAGGATTCTTGGGGCCGACGTCCCAGAAATTCTGTTTTGGCACGGTTCAGGATTGTCAGGACGCGATTTTCACGTTGATTTGTGGTGTTGTCGCAGGACCGGTATTCTGGCACGATCCTGGACCGTCAGGACGCAGCAGTAACGTTGATTCGCGGCATGAGCTGGAGGTTCCGCGATCGAACTTGGCCTCATCTGCTACGGCTGCTCTTAACTTTATCTTGTCCTCTCGGCAGCTCGCTCGTGCGGCGACGGCCCACGCCGTGCTGCCAATTCCATCCGAATTCGAGATCGCTCGAGCTCATGATGAGGCTCTGCTAGGTTTGATTCTGGACTAATTGACGGCTGCCCGACAGCCTCTTGTCCTTGCATTGCCCTCGTAGACTGGCGCGGAGTGATCGGGACAGATTGCGCGCGTCGCAGCGCAAAACGTAAGTCTTCGCGGCGCTGTTCATATATACAGATCTGTGTACACACAGTATACGCGTGCACACGCACACAGACACCCCCACACACACACACACACACACACACACACACACACGCGCGCGCGCGCGCGCGCGCACCCCCCCCCCCCACCCACTCACACGCACACACACACACACACACACACACACACACACACACGCACGCACGCACGCACGCACGCACGCAGCACACAGCACACACACACATCAAACCTGTGTGTATATACCTATACGACCACCCTGCGGGTGATAAGGAGGTTGTGGGGGGGTGGGGGGAGGGGGGTGGCTCATGACGACAACTGTGATGAACGTGGTGCTGATGGGCGATGATGGTGTGGATGACGTGGCGGATTTTTTTTTGTTCCTTCGCTTGGGCGACTTGTGTCGTTCGGTTTGCCGCGGCGCGACGCGGCACTCAGCCCACGACGTCCCAGTCGACGATGGGTGCACTGGCAGTGCCTGGTGCGTGCGTCCGGACCTCTCCTATCCTGGCTTGGGGGTCACGCTGGCAGTGCCTGGCGTCGACGAGCACCCTCCGCCCAGCGTCGGTGGAGACGACTGGCTGTTTGTGGCGGGCGGTGCCACTTGCTCAGCAGGGGCACTGCTGCCAGATGCACTGGCAGCGCCTGGTGCCGTGTTGGCCTGCACTGGCAGGCCATGGTGAGCAACCGTGATGAGCAACCATGATGAGCAACCATGATGAGCAACCGGCGGGCAACCGACGGGACAACGTGGGCTACCGCTTGACAAGGCCGGGGGGGGGGGAAACATTTGTGTTGGCGGACCCCTAGCGACAGCAGAGTGAATTCCTCTCGCTGGCCCACGCAGCTTCGCCTCGCCCGCACGCGCGGCACGAGCACGAACTCGAAACTCGATTTCCCGGCGGGGGGACCCCGTTACACTGCGATCTCACCCCCCAACCTCCGATATATGTATATACATATACAAGCAGATCTAGGTGCGTGTGTGCGTGTGTCCGTTTCACATGCGTGCGTATGTGTACATGTCTCTCTCTCTCTCTCTCTCTCCCCTACATATATATATATATATATATACACACATGCATACACATTTCCCGGGGGCGAGGCACTGGAGCCCCGGCCACGGGACCCCAACAGCGCATTGGGGGCCCGGGCGCTCCAGGACGCGGCCAGCTGGCACCTTTGGCGTTCAAGATCGTTGCCGTGTGCTCCAAATCGGACGTTGATAGACTTCCTACCCTGACGCGTCGATGAGTGTCGCGGCCGTCATTTTTGCGGGCCCAGGTCCGTCGGTTTCGGTCCTAGGCCGTTTTCACGGAAAGGGATGTTTACTAAAGGGAGGCTTGTCCACCGCCGATCCAAGATTGCTGCAAAGGCGGACGATAACGTGCAGGGTGGCCCAAGGGGCCCCCAAGACCCCCCAGGAACGCTCCATGAGAGCCCCAAGACGGCCAGAGAGGCTCCCAAGACGCCCCAAGAGCGCTCCAGGATAATCTCCCGAAGCCCGCCCGAGGCAAGTTCCTATGATGTCTGATTGTTCGTTTTCTTTGTTTTCTGGGGATGTCCCTGCTTCGGCCGCCTGACGCTACATGATGGCTTCATGACGCTCCAAGACTGCCGAAAAGGGCCCCGCAGAGAGCCCACAACTACCCAGCAGGCTGTCGAAACGGCCCAAAACTTTCCCAAGACAGCCTAGAACGCCCCCAGACGACCCCACGACGAGCTCCATGACAGCTCCATGGCGCCCGATGACGGCCCCAAGGGCGCTCGGAAGCACCCAGGGCGGCCCCAAATCCCCAGACGGCCCAAGAGGCCCCCACGACGGCCCAAGAGCGCTCCAGGAGAGCCCCCAGACGGCCCAAGACGCCCACGCAGACGCCCCACGAGTGCGCCAGGACAACCTCCCGAAGGGCCTCCAGAAGCAAAGGTACTGGATGTTCGATGTTTTTTTCTTTTCCCCCGATGATTCCTGGGATGTCCCGGGATGTCCCTGTTTCGGCCTGGCGACGCGGCCGGCCCCAGAGAACCCCCATAACGATCTAAGACTTCCGAAACAAGGACACCGAAGAGAGCCCACAAACAGCCCAGCAGGCCGCCGAAACAGGCGCAGACGCGCACAAGACAGCCCATAACGCCCCCAGACGACCCCACGACGGGCTCCGAGGCGCCCGACGACGACGGCCCCAACGGCGCCCGAAAACGCCCAGGGTGGCCCAAGAGGCCCCCGAATCCCCAAGAGCGGTCCAGGAGAGCCCCAAGACGGCCCAAGAGGCTTGCCACTCGCCTCAAGAGTGCACCAGGAGAAGCTCCTGGCGGGCCTTCCGAAGCAAATTTTGTGGATTGTGATATGTTATCTTGGAGGTCCCTGGTTTGGCCTGGCGATGCTACAGGACGGCCCCAGGAGCCCCCATCACGCTTCAAGACAGCCGAAAAAAGGGTTCCGAAGAGAGCTCCGAGGCGCCCGACGACGGCCCCATCGGCGCTCGGAAACGCCCAGGGTGGCCCCAAGGCGGCTCAATGGGGCCCCCAAGACTGCGCAAGAGCGCTCCAGGAGAGCCCCAAGACGGTCCACGAGGTTCCGAAGACGCCCCAAGAGCGCTCGAGGAGAACTTTCCTGGCGGCCTTTCCGAGGCCCGTCCGAACAAAGGGTCCCGAAGAGAGCCCACAAACAGCCCAAACAGACTCAGACGCTCCGAAGGCAGCCCAAAACACCCCCAGACGACTCCACGACGAGCTCCGAGGCGCCCGACGACGACCACAACTGCGCTCGGAAACCCTAGGCAAGAGGCTCGCCACTCGTCCCAAGAGTGCACCAGGAGAAGCTCTTGGCCGGCCTTCCGAGGCAAAGTTCGTGGAATTTGAATGGTTTTTGGTCTGGTGTTTTCTGGGAGGTTCTTGGCTCAGCCTGGCGATGCTACAGGACGGCCCCGAGAGCCCCCATGACGCTCCGAAACTGCCGAAAAGGGTCCCAGAGAAAGCCCACAACTACCCAGCAGGCTTTCGAAATGGCCCAAAACTCTCCCAAGACAGCCCAGAACGACCCCAGACGACCCCACGACGAGCTCCGAGGCGCCCGATGACGGCCCCAAGGGCGCTCGGAAACGCCCAGGGTGGCCCCAAGGCGGCCCAAGAGGCCCCCACGACGGCCCAAGAGCGCTCCCGGAGAGCCCCCAGGCGGCCCAAGACGCTCCCGTAGACGCCACAAGAGCGGTCCAGGACAACTTCCTGGAGCCTCCGGAAGCAAACATTGTGATCTGTTTGATTGTTTGTTTAAAATGTTATGTTTGTTGTTTAGCCCAAACAAAGCTACAGGACGGCCCCAGAGAGCCCAATCACGCTCCAAGACTGCCGAAAGGGTTCCGAAGGAAGCCCCCCTGCATACACACACACACACACACACACACACACACACACACACGCACACGCACACGCACACGCCCACACGCCCACACGCCCACACGCCCACACGCCCACACGCCCACACGCACACACGCACACACGCACAAACGCACAAACGCACAAACGCACACACGC